GAAAGATTAGTGAAGAGCTGGGAAAAAAACTTATGTCTAAAAAGAAATAGGAACTGGGCATGTTGGCACACACCTTTAATCACAACATTCAGAAGACAGGGTTCCAGGCCAACCTGGTCTACATAGCAAGAACCAAGAACAAGAAGCTGGGCACGGTGGGGAACACCTGTGGCCACACCAGCTGGGGAAGCTGAGGCCTGAGAGTTGTAAATTTGAGACAGGCCTAGGCAACATTGTAAGATCCTGTTTTGTTTTGTGTTTTAGTTTAAAGGAGAAGTACAGTTTAGGCTGAGATTTAAATAGCACAATATATGCCAGCATGTACAAAGAAGGCCTGAGTTTTGATAATTAGCAACAAAGAGAGGAATATTAAAGTCAGCAGAGATCATGGGGTAGAGTGCTGCGTACTGTAATGAATCTAGTTATTTTTGTTCATGTTTAAATTTACTATTCATTTATCTATCTATCTATCTATCTATCTATCTATCTATCTATCTATCCATCTATCCATCCATCCATCTATCTATCTATCTATCTATCTATCTATCTATCTATCTATCTATCTATCGATTGTATGCTAGTAGAGGTCAGAAGGTAACTCTCCAGTCTGTTCTCACTTCTACCACGTGGGTCCTGGGATAACGCTCAGGTCAGCAAGCTTAGCAGCAAGTATCTTTACTTGCTAAACCATCTTACCAGGCAAATTCCTGGTTATTTTAGGTTTTTAGACAGGGTCTCACGTAGCACAGGGGAGTCTCACACTGCCTATGTAGCTCAGTATGATCGTGAAGTTCTGATCCTTCTGAGGACCCCTCTTCGGTTTCAGATTACCAGCGTGTGCCACTCACCCACTGTTGACGGGGTCCTGGGATTTAAGCCCAGGGCTTCACATGTGCTACGTAAGCACTCTGCTGAGGCACTTTGGCCCTTTTTCCTCTCTCCTGAGAGAAGTGCATGCCGCCACACCCAGCCTTGATTCTAGTCTAAAACTATAAATGACATCATGAAATGAAAAAAAAAATCTTTCAAAACACTGGCTATCTGTACAATGAAAAAATATTTTATTCCTTTCTACCCTCTGGTGGTTATGTACCCATAGTTAGTTATTTTGAAAGCCCTGGATAGAATGGTCATTTATCATTCCTTGGACAAATTTTTATTACCACAAGCCAGGTGTGGTGGCACATGCCTTCAGTCTTAGTACTTGGGAGGTAGAGGTAGGTGAATCTCTGTGAGTTCAAGGTCAGCCTGGTCTACAAATCACATCTAGGACAGCCAAGGCTATACAGACAAATCCTGTATGGAAAAACAAAAAAAATAAGTAAAAATTAAAAAGTGCTAGGAATAGGATCCAGGAACTAAACGCTGGCAAAGCCGTCTACTGTTAAGCTACACCGAAAGTCCTCAGATCCTTTGGGGGAAAATGTGTACAATCTCACACATTTGAACGCATTGTCTTGCCCTGCTACACTTCATTTCTGCAGGTTCTCCTTTTTCTACATCCTTTTGGCTACTCCATTTCTTTCACCATACTTTGTAATCAGCAGCTTTGAATTTGGCCATTTTTACCCAGAGTCCTCAGACATTTACTGAAAGCCAGTCATACATGCTAGATCATGCATCCTAATGCACACTGCTAAAGAACTGCTCTATGGGTTTATAGCATGCATTGACGTTTTCTGTCTTTTTGTGGTGTTTTTTTTTTTTTGTTTGTTTGTTTGTTTGTTTTTGTTCTTGTCTTTCAAGATAGGGCTTCAAACCCACAGAGCTCTACCTCAGCCTGCCTAGTGCTGGGACTAAGAGTGTGTGCCACCACACCCGGCTTGTGATATTTTTTTGTTCTTGCTGTTTTGGTTTTGTGTTTTGTGACAGGGTCTCCACATAGCTCTGGCTGTCCTAGAACTCACTATGGAGACCAGGCTGTCCTGGAACTCACAGAGATCCACCTGCCTCTGCCTCACTTCTGCCGAGATGAAAGGTGTGCGCCACCATTCCTGGACTTATTCACTGTTAAACTGGGCTGAGTCTCCAAGCTATACCTAAGCTTACTACAAAGATGTTCCCACAACTCTCTTGAGTCACCACTTCTCTGAGATTCGGGATTGGAACTGAATCCACGGAGGCAAGGAGGTCGGGTCAGTGATCTTTTTTCCCTGAACCTCTCTAGTCTTTGGAAGTATCTACCTTAGCAGGGAGCGGTGAAGCTCGACTGCAATCCCAGCGCTCAGGGAGGCAGGGGCAGGTGGATCTCTGTGAATCCGAGGCCAGCCTGGGCTACACTGAGAAACCGGTCTAAAGAAAGAAAAAGAACAAAAGAAAATCTCTTAATTAGCAATCCTGCAAGCAGAAAGAAACTTTTGTTTCCCAGGAAGTCCAGACGGATCTGGGCAGGGCCACGGTTATCCGCAGCCTCTTCAAGGAGAACAAAGAATGTACCTCAGCTGCCTCGGAGCCTAGTGCAAATGGAAGTCCTGGCCCTGTCCTCCGGGTGCTCGGGGCAAGGCGGGCTCCAGAAGAATCCCTCCCACGCCGGCCCTTCTCCCCTACCTCTCGCAGTCCAGCCCTTCCCTCAGCCTCAACTCCCCTCGATACTTCGCCTCCACCCACAGAGCCCCCTTCCTCTGATTGGCTGCCCCAGAAGCGGCTGTCCAATGGGGATGACGTATCCGGCACGTGTCCCGCCCACCGACGCGCCCTCCTTTTTTTGATTGGCTGTCCCGGGAGCGGCCGTCCAATGGGGATGACGTATCTGGCGCGTGCAAAAGGGCAGCACACGGACAGAGGACGGACGTACTCGAGGCCCTCGACGCCCGGAGCACGAGGACGGCAGCGCGCGGTGTGTAGCCCGGGCCGCGTGCGTGGCCTCAGGCCCTCTTCGTCATCACTGCCCAGTGCATGTGGGTGCTGAAGACCCGCAGCGGCCTCGGGGCGCCCGGGAGAGACTACAGAACCTGAGCGGGCAAGGCCAGCGGTGCCCGCGAGGGCCAGCCCTGATTTCAGGCCTCCACTAGCTCCGTGCTCCATTCCCAGAAACCCTCGCGCCGAAGATCCCTCTTCAAAGGAGTTGGGCCCAGGGGCCCAAAACGTGCGGGCTGACGTGTCCTGCAGGGCCTTCTGTGGCGCCGTTTTCTCCACTAACCCTCGTTTTCTTGTTTCTGGATTGGGAGGGGTCGCTGAGGCAGTTGGCCCACCCCTGCTGCTTTGCGCAACCTTTCGGCTTGAGGCTGGACATTAAGAGGAAACAAAGCAACTGGACACGAGGACCAGAAAAAACAGGACAGCAGGAGCAAATTCTATTGCAAAGCAATTCCAGGTTGGGTCTGAGGACAAGGCTAGGCATTGGTGTTTTGGAAATCTTCCAGGCACCCTTGCAACATGTGCCCGGCTCATCCAGGTTTCCTGTGTCTGGGATGAGAATTAGTCGTCTTTCCCATCCTGACCTCCATCCTCTTTGGTATAAGACCTCACACACACTTGCCAGACAAGATTTTCTACCCCTTGAGCTATACCACCAGTCCTTTTTAAATTCTGTTTTGAGAATAGAGCTCACTGAATTGCCCATGCTGGTCTGAAACATATAATACTCCTGTCTCAGCCTCCTGAATAATAACTAAGATTACAGACATGGGGTCACCAAGCCAGGCTGCTTCTCTTTCATAATTTACCTATTCACTCTTTTCTTTCTTGATAGTTTTGACGTGAACTATTTGGACTCTTCAGTGCTACCTGACAGAAAACTACATAACCATTCTGGAAAACTGAACACACAGCTGTGCAGTGAGTTGGGTTGGGGAAATGGTCATGGTGCACGCACACAGACACACAAACTAGAAGTGTATTTGGATAGGGAAGAGTCAAATGCATACCTTTTTGTTCCACTGTTAGCCACAGTTAACCCAAAGTCCATATTTTTGCAAATTGACGAAGTCAGTCTGGCTCACTTTGGTCAATCAACATAGAAACAACTATGCAAGACGTTCTGAATCCTGTTTTCTCTTACTGTGCACCCTCTGCTGGTTAGTGTGGTAAGTGAGCTTAAAGAAAGTGCTATGGCTTCCCAGAGTCAGTTTTAGAGCCAGCATGTTGTCTTTGAAAGTGTGAAATCCAGAGTATGCTGAGACGTGGTGCTCAGGAAGAATGTGAGGAGTCAGGCTGAGGAACAACAATCACTGACATTTGAGAGGATTATTTTGTGCTAGGGACACATTGTACTAATCAATTTTGTCTGTGTTGACTCATTCAATTTTATTTTGAGTCAGAGTCTCTGTGCAGTCCAGACTGCCCTCAAACAACAGATATGTACCACCATTCCCTCATTTGTTCTGCTTTGTGTTTGAGACAGGATCTCATATAGCTTAGGCTGGCCTTGAACTAGTTATATGTGGGATGATGGATGTCCTTGCATTCCTGCTTATACTGCCTCTGCCTCCCAAGAGCTGGAATTACAGACATGCTCCACCATGTCTGGCTTGTTTAAATTTTTTTAAAACCTTACAAGGTAAGTAGTGTTATTTCCATTTCATGCATGAGACAAGTAAGTTTCTGAGAAGTTAGGTCACCTACACGGTAGTATACAGCTAGCTAAGAACAGAGCCAAGGGCTGGAGAGAGGGCTCAGAGGTTAAGAGCAATGACTACTCCTCCAGAGGTCCTGAGTTCAATTCCCAGCAACCACGTGGTGGCTCACAACTATCTATGATGATATCTGGTGCCCTCTTGCAGACAGAACATTGTGTGCATAATAAATAAATCTTTAAAAAAAAAAAAAAAAAGAACATAGCCAAGATTCAAATGTAGGCCTATCTCCAAGCTTCTACACGAAAGCACTGTCATTAGGCTTTCTTGAGATTACCCTCAGCTGACATTTCATTATCTTTTTTTCATTTCTTAGCCATTTCAAAAAGAAAATAAATTAGGTATAATCATTCCTCTGATATGTATTATCTCCCCCACAGGAATCTGAACCAAGAAAATCTAGAAGGTTTATTAACCAAATACGACATGTGCTCTCCTGCCAGTTCCAAAATCCTCTACAGGAACCCACGGTTCCTCCGGGTAGTTTTCCTGCAGCTTCACCACCAGCAGCAGAGCGGTGTGTTTTGTGATGCCCTTCTGCAGGCAGAGGGTAAGAAACTAACTTAGGTTCAACTGAAAGTCACTATAGAACAAACAAGGTAAAATGAGTTCAAGGCCAGATGCAAACAGTAAAACCAGAAGAATGTTTTTCTTATAGTGTTCTGCCTGCATGTATGCCTCCATACCAGAAGAGGGCACCAGATCTCACTGTAGATGGTTATAAGCCGCCACGTGGTTGCTGGGAATTGAACTCAGGACATCTGGAAGAACAGCCAGTGCTCTTAATCTCTGAGCCATCTCCCCAGCCCCAGAAGAATGTTATTACCTATAAATATTGTAAATTCATTGGTGAAAGCTTTTTGTTTCCAGGACAGTTATTGTTGGAAGGGGGTGGGGTTTTGTTGGTGGTGGTGTTTGTTTTGTTGAGACAAGGTTTCATTATAAAGCCCTGGCTGACCTAGTACTTGCTATGTAGACCCGGTTGGCCTCAAACTCACATGGATCCGGAACTTGCCTCTGCCTACCCAGGACTGAGATTAAAGGCTTTCTTTCACCCCCACACTCAACTTAGGATAAGTTAAGTTTTTGTTTTTTTGAGACAGGATCTCATGTAACCTAGGCTTTCCTCGAACTCAATGTAGCTGAAAAAAAAAAAAAACCCTTGGACTTCTAATTTTCCTTCTTCCCAAATTTTCTACCAAATGCCTAATCTGATCCAGAGCTGGGGATCAATCCTGTAGTTTTGTACATGCTAGGCAGGCACTCTACCAAATGACTGTATGCCCAGCCCCTCTAAAAACTGTTCTCAAGAGTAAACTTATTGGAGGCTAAAAAGATAGCCTAGTGGTTCAGAGTACTGCTCTTCCAGAGGATCCTGGTTCAAGCCTCAGAATCCACATGGCAGCTTTCAACTGTCTGTAACTCACACGTGTGGTATACAGATATATATGCAAATAAAACAAAATAATAAATTGTTAAAAAGATTTAAACTGTTATTTTTTTACCCCTAAAATTCAAATACAATGGGGCTGGAAAGAGATAGCTCACTGGCTAAGAACATTTGTTGCTTTTGTAACAACCATGTTTTGGCTTACAGCCATCCATAAGTCCAGTTCCAGAGGATCCAATGTCCTCTTAGCAATAGACAAACTCATGGTGTACATGAATACATGTAGACAAAATACTCATATACATCATATAAATCTGTATTTAAAGGAGTAAAACTAAACAGGGTGGTGGTGGCACAGGTCACTGATCCCATCACTCAGGAGGCAGAGGCAGGTGGCTCTCTGAGTTTGAGGTCAGTCTGGTCTACCAAGCAGATTCTAGGACAGCCAGAGCCTTGGTAAACAAAAACAAACAAAAAAGATAAAACTAGAAGACAGGCAGGACTTAGGAAGTTAAATAAAAGGATCACAAATTCAAGAACAGCCCAGGCTAGAGTCAGGTGTACTCATGCATGCTGCTCCTGTGTGTGCTCACAGGCTGTCACACACACATTGTGTGGGCTGCGGCGTGGGCTGGGCACACGGGTGAAGGTCGGAAAACAACTCACAGAAATCAGGTTTCTCCTTTTATCATGTGGTGTCTGTAGGCTTAGTTGGCTGCCAGCACCTTTCTGTGCTAAGTCATCTTGCATACCCAGAAGCTCAACAAAACAAGAAAATGTAAGACAAAGCTGGCAGGGTGGTGCTGGCAGAGGGGTGGCCCGTGGCTTAAAAGCATTGTGCTGCTTTCACAGTGGACCTTGGTTCAGTTCCCACATCCACATGGCAGTTTACAGACCATCCAATTCCAAGAGAGCTGGCCCCCTCTTCTGGCCTCGTCAGGCGTCCATGCAAGCAAGACATTCATACATGTAAAATAAAACACATAAATCTTAAAAAAAAAAAAAAAAAAAAAAAAAGGTTGGGCGTATAGTTTAGTTGACAGTGTTAGCCTAGTTTTCATGAAGCCCTGGGTTCAGTCCCCAGCACAGATTAAACCACACTTAGTGGTACATGCCTGGTGAAGCAGGAAGATGAGGAAGTTCAGGTCATCTTTGACACATAGGGAGTTTTAAACCAGCCCACATTACATGATACCTAGCCCCAAAATAAATAAATAAGAGAGTAGGAAGATGTATGGATATAACCTAGAACCTCTGCTCGGGTGTAGCCCGTGATAGCTCAGTAACCAACTGGTTTCCCATAGTAAGGGGAACAAGGACTATTTCTAACAGGAACTCAATGGCTGGCTCTTTGACCTCCCCACCCCCAGGGGAGGAGCAGTCCTGTTAGGCCACAGAGGAGGACTTTGCAGCCAGTCCTGAAGATACCTGATAAAATAGGATCAGATGAAAAGGGAGGAGGTCCCCCCATCAGTGGACTTGGAAAGGGGCAGGGAGGAGATGAGGGAGGGTGGGAGTGGGAGGGAATGAGGGAGCGGGATACAGCTGGGATACAGAGTTAATAAAATGTAACTGATAAGAAAAAAATAAAATTATTTAAAAAAAAAAAAAGAGTAGGAAGATGGCTTAATGGATAAAAGTGCTAGGTGTGCAAACATGAGGACCTAAGTGTGACTTGCTAAAACCCAAACACTTAGTGCAACTGTAATTCCTACAGCCTGCAAAGATATGGTTGTCAGAAGACAGAAGAACCCTGGAACCTCAAAGGACAGTTAGCCTGCATAGAGAGCAGGTAGAGCAAGTAGGCCTATATTAAAGAAAGTGAAGTGATGGCAAACACCCACGGTTGTCCTCTGACCTATATTCATATGCTATAGCACACATACCTGTGCGCGCGCGCGCGCGCGCACACGCACGCACACACACACACACACACACACACACACACACACACGGGCTAGGAAGACAGCTCAGCTGGTAAAGTGCTGCCTTGCAAGCACCAAAATCTAAGTTTGGATTGTCAACACCTATATAAAAAGCTGAATGTCTTGATATATATGTTCAACTTAGAGTCCCTGTAGCTAATGTAGCCAAGCTGGAGAAGTCCAGGTTCAGTGAGAGACTCCCTCTCAAAGGATAAGGTAGAAAATCGATTGAGGTCAACTTCTGGCCTCCACTACCCTAAGTGAGTAAATATAAACTATGGGGGTTACAGAGATTGCTCTGTGTGTAACAAAAACAAACTTACCGTGCAAGTGTGAGGACTTGAGTTTGATCCTCAGACCCCAGCTAAAGCTACTAGAGTTGTGCAGGCCTCTAATCTCAGTGCTCCTTTGGGGAGACAGAGGCATGAGAATCCTGGGAAGCTTGTAGACCAGCTAGCCTGACATGGAGGACATCAAAGAGGTCTGTGTCAGGGTGAGGTAGGGGCTGACACTTGAGGTTGTCCTCCTCACGTTAATGCTATAGCATGCAGACATCACCTCTTCACGAATATGCATGCACGCACACACACACAGAATCTAGAGCCCAGTGTAGTGGTGTACAGCTTGAATCACTGTTTTCAAATGGCTCATGACTTTGAGGCCAGTCTGGGCTGTATAACCAGGTCCTGTCTGAAAATAAGCAAACAAAAACAAATTGCAAAGTTTTGTGGGTGTAAAATTCTATAGAATGCACATAATATCCAAATGGGATAGTTGGAAAGGTTCAAGATATGTCAAGCACTTTGGAAGGCTTTTTTGGTTGGGTCTTTGAAAACAAGACCTTAGACCTTAATCCCAGTACTGAAGAAGTAGAGGCAAGTGAATCTCTTGGAGTTTGAGGCCAGCCTGGTCGACAAAGCAGGACAGCCAGGACTATACAAGAAACCCTGTCTCAAAAAAACCAAAATAGTATCTTCTATAGCTCATACTGGTTTTCAGAATGACTGAGCTGCTGTCTCTACCATCCAGGTTCTCAGGTTATAGGCATACACCACACGTGGGTTGCTGCACAAGGTTCTTAAAGCCCCAAGCGCATTAGTTAGCTGACAGTGCCACCTATTCCCCCTTTCTTTTCAAGCTCTTGCTTAAGGTTTTTTTTTATCTTCAAATCAGTGATTTTTTGTTGTTGTTGGGACTAAAACCAAAAGAAGAAAAAGAGCATAAGTGTTTTGTTTTTGTCTTTCAGGTGAGGCTGTCCCAGCCCACTGCTGTATCCTGTCGGCCTGTAGTCCCTTCTTCACGGAGCGTCTGGAGCGGGAGAGGCCAGTTCAGGGTCGGAAGGTGGTACTGGAGCTGGGAGGCCTAAAAATCAGGACCCTTAGGAAGCTGGTAGATTTCCTATATACTTCAGAGATGGAAGTGTCTCAGGAAGAAGCCCAGGATGTGCTCTCTGCTGCCCGTCAGCTCCGAGTGTCTGAGCTGGAAACCCTGCAGCTAGAAGGTGGAAAGTTAGTAAAGGCTCCACAGGGCCGAAGACTAAACAGAGAGTGCCTACAACCACCAAGTACTGCACCAATCTCTGCTAGAGTGGTGGCACCCAGCCGCCGCCCTCGAACCCCACTGACTGTCACCCAGACTCCTAGTCCTCTTGGGACAGTGAGGTTGAAGTCCTTAGGGGAAGAAGAGGGGCCTCACAAAAAGAGTGACCTACCAAATGCAGATAGCTCAGACACTCTTCTACTCAAGAAGAAAGCCAGGGCTTGCCTGACTCAAGAAAGAAGCTCATCTCCATCAAGCCAGAGAGAAGGGCCTAAGGAAAACAAGAACAACCCTGCCCTAGGTCCTACAGCACTTTCCCCTCCCAGCTTGTACCCTTCTGTGGATGAGCAACTACTGCCCAGAAAGATCAGGCTGAGTCGTTCAAAACCTTCACCCCATGTCTATACATCTAAGCCTTCCAGCATTTTAAGGGGTCCCAGCTCGGTGCCTACAGCCCCTGGCCGGCGTCTTTGGAGACAGAGAAGTGTAAGTAAAGCAGCACAGGGTGTGGATAAGCAGAAGCCAGGGGAAGTCAGTCCTCTACAGAGCACTCCAGACCTGCCTGAAGTTGGGAAGACAGGTGGGAGCAAGAAGCAGAGCCCTGAATTCAGAGCACTCACCTCCAACTCCGTAGAGGAGGGCCAGGTTGGAAGAGTAAAACTTAGAAAGATTGTCAATGGTACTTGCTGGGAAGTGGTACAGGAGCCTCCCCTCAGAAACACTAGAGATAGCCCCCAGATCCTAGAACCCTCAGATGTAGAAGATCCTCCAGGAGCTCTGCTATCCTCAGTTAGTGAGCAGGAAACACCTGCCAGGATACAACTGAGTCAGGACTCCCCAGAGAGCCCTAGGCTGCAAGACGTTCACCTCTCAGCTATCCACTCACCAGACCACCCTGTGGTGAAGTCAGAGTTTGGGTCCAGTCCAATGCTAATAGGGAAAGAACCTGTGTTGAATATTGACTGCAGACAGCCCTACACATTCGGCACAGCTCAGCTTGGCCAGCCCTGTGAAGCTGAGCAGTACCGAATCACAAGTGCTGCAGCCACCAGTGAGCTAGAAGAGATTCTGGACTTCATGCTGTGTGGCTCAGACGCTGAGCCACCAGTAGGCTCTTTGGAAAGTCCGGGGACTGAAGGCTGCAGAACTCCAAGTTATCACCTGTCAGAAACAGGAAAAAATTGGATTGAAGGAGAAGAATGGTGTTTGCCAGATATGGAACTCTGGCCCAGAGACCTCACAGGATTGGAAAAGGAACCTGTTGGTGAGAAGAAAGAGCCAGTTGAGCCCTTTAGTCCCCTTGTCATGGACTCTGAGAACACAGAACCAGTTGAGCCCCTTACCCCCCTTGTCATGCCCTCAGAGGTGAGCAGAGAGGAACTTTCACTGAAAAGCTCTTGGACTCCAGACCTTGAAATTACCAGCTCCCAGCCACTGGATGGTCAGGGAGAAAAACTACTCCACCTTGACTCCTCTGACCCTTCCCAAAGGTCTTACAGGGATCTCTCCCCTCCATGCTCAAACTGGGCAGAGGAAGGGCTAGAAGTGTCCCTAGGCATGGATGAGGTGTTATATCCTGTTCCCAAGGCAGTCAGGGACGTATCTGCCAACCCTGAACTGCTGGACCCATTTCCTGGCAGTTCTGAAGATGAAGAGATTGACGTGGTAGACTGGACAGTGGAGGGGAAGCTGGAGCCAACTAGTGTTCCTTCTGTCTGGCCTGACCCTTCCTCTGAGTCAGAAACAGAGGTAGATATACTGACATAGTGGAGGCAGGAGGGTGGGGTAGAGCCCCTCAGAGGGTGACACCTGTTGACCAGCAAAAGGCTTTCTTGGCAGCAAAGGAAGCACATCTCCTCTCAGCACTGAGCCCCCTCCTCAGACTTATGCGCCAGGCATAAGCCAAATAAATAGCAGTACCATGAGCAGGAAATTAGGAACTTGAGCTATCTATTTGTAATCCATTTTTCACTGACAATAATAAACTGTGGTCTCCAACTGTATTAAGTCATAAGAATAGTTAAGAACAGGCATCCCTCATTTCAAGAGATAGTCACTGAAAATTCAGGAAAACTTAGAATACTGTTTGTGTTGGGTTGTGTTTAAAGAATGTTTGAGAAGGAATGAAGCTGTGTTAGAACACTGGGATGAGAGTGGTATCTCTTTAAATTGCCCAGGCTGGCACTGAACTTTGACTCCTGCCTTAGCCTCCTGTAGCTGATGTTATAGGCCTGTGCCCCTGAGCCCAGCCCGTGGGGCTTACTCACTGCCAGTATGTAAAATCTAGCAAAAGCCTCCACAAAGGCCAGGAAGATGTTACTTTCATGACTACTTCGGAGAAGTAGATTAAAATTAGTTGCTTTTAAGATTTACTTCATATCTACAGTCTTGTTTGCTTCTTGTTTTAAAACGGTATCTCATAAGCCAGGTTGACTATGAATTTCCAGTTCTTTTGTCAGCCTCCCAGGTGCTGAGATTACAGGCATACACCACCAATCCCAGCAATATTCACATTTTTCATCAGCGTGTCATATGTTTTACCATAAACCCTACAATTTCCACACATAAGGAACTTTGCAGCATGAAAAACAAAAGACCAACAACCCCACAAGCCTAGTTGTATCCATCCTTTAAGACAAAATGTAAATTTGACTCTTACTCTCAGATACTTTAACTTTTATTAAACCAATCAAAATACTTGTACAGCGCCTTGCTGGAGGATTGCCTCACAACTGAACCATCATTTCTGCTGGGAAAGAAACTATGGCTTCAGATACATAGCTTAAGTTTGGCCATGCACCATCATAAACGCTTCAGCATTTCCAGGGACTGAAAGCTGCAAATAGAGGAGGGAATGTCAGAGCAGGGTTTCAGGCAATCACAAGGATCCACCCCGACCCCAAGGCTAGCCATACAAAACTCGGGAGCTCGGTGACACCCCCCCCCCACACACACACACCTACAAACACTCAACACGAAAGCTCAGAAAACAGGCCAAAGCCCTGTACAAATCTATGCAACCAAGAAATGGGGGTGTGTTTAATGGGCCCTCACCTCACAGATTACTAACAAAACCCAGAAAAGTTGAGGTAAAGTGAACAGCAGATTCTGCCACAAGGGAAAAAACCTTAACTACAGAAAGATGTCAACACTGATGATGAACCAGTAAGATTTGCAACAGACTCTTGGAATTAAAACAGCCATCAGAGATGGGAAAGTAAATTAGCAAACAAATGCAAAAGCTGCTTAACTAACTCAAAAAGCACAAGCGACACATCATTTAGATTCTAGTTTTTTTTGTTGTTGTTCGAAACGGGGTTTCTCTGTGTAGCCTTGGCTGTCCTGGACTCCCTTAGTAGACCAGGCTGGCCTCCGCTTCCCGAACTATTGGGATTACAGGCGCGTGCCTCCGCGCCAGGCTTAGCTCCTCTTTCCTCTTACAGGAATCTCCTGTACACTGTACCGGTAAGGAAACCTTCGCTGTCCATGCATCGCACTCCCGGGTCACAATGCAAACCTCAGCGTGGGCACTCCTGCCAGCCTCCTTATTTAAGGTACTTCTTCAGTTCGTTCACCACCTCTTGAGGGTCAGGAAATTTGAGCTTTCGTGGAGGACCCTTCTTAATACCGGTCCAGAGCTCGGCACCTGGGAAAGGATGGGATAAAGTCAATTTACGGTGGCTCTCACCCGTGCACCCGCCCCCGTCGCGGCCTCCACTCACGGCTGCCGTCCGGGCGTAGCAGCGTCACTTCGAAGCTGCCCCTCCGGGGCTTGGCCGGGTTCACCTGCACGGGGAGTTCTGGGGCCGCCAGCTGCAGGGCCTGGCTCAGGGCAGCGGCGTGGCGGCCGTACACGCGTCAGCTCGTGCTGCGGACACACGGGTTGCAAAGGGGTCTGCGGCCCCGCCGGGCCAAAGCTCCCCCACCCTCCGCGACCCCCAGGCCCTCACCAGTGCTCGATGAGCAGGGCTGCGCCCTCCGCCAGCTTCCCGCGCTTGTCCTCCGCCGCCTCGCCCGGCGCGGGCGCGGCCTTACGCTTTCTCCGGAGAGGGGCCATGGCACGGGTCACAGGCGTCCAGCAACGTGGGGGGCGGCGTTGGCGGAAGACGGGGGCCACGCAACCCCAGGGCACAAACCCCGCAGCCCGGAACCGCACGTGCGAAATCCAAATCTCGCGACCTGCAGGCAGCGTCCACGTGACCTGAAGGCGGGACCTTCAAGCGCAACCGCGCTGCCTGTGGGTAAGAAGGGGGAGGGGCGGAAGGCCGGGTGAAAGCACCTGCAGCTGCCAGGCGGCGGCACGGGGCGGGGACGGACTGGGGGTCCTAGCCCCCTCTGGCAGGGGCTTTCTGCGCAGGTAACCCCCACCCTGGGATCCGCAGACCGATTCCGAGGGAAGGCCACATCGCATTTCCGCGGCGTTCGCTCCACTGCAGAAACTAGCTAATTCGCACCGAAATGCGGAATCCACGTCCCCGCGTGGCGAAACAAGAGGATGTGGAATTTGAACTCCTGCCCATTAGTAATTTAAGCGCAGTAGCTGGCACCTGTAGTCTCGGTACTGAGCTGAATCAAGAGGACAGTCAGAGGCCCATCTGTCATCTCTCCAACAGACCGAGACCCGCACCCACAAATTTAACGTTTGTTAGGGTCTAGAGGCATGCTTGGCTTATAGGGTGCCCGAGTTCAACGTTCAATCTCAGCATCAAAAATGGAGGCAGTTCCTCTGCGGCCGCTCACTTTCCAGCAAAGCAGAAACAACACCGAGGCAATCAAAATAACCCCTTTATTAGGGAAAGCTTTGTGGATAGGAGAAAACAGCTGTCCAGCCACAGGGCTCTTCTTCAGGGCCCACTAAGGACCGTGTCAAAATTTACCGCCCTACCTCTCAGTTTCCATAATTCAGCAGGATCATTCAATTCTATTCCCATGATGAAAATCCTGGCAGGCGGCTGTTGACTGGGATCAGCCACAGTGCGTAAATTACACACACACAACCCTTTTGGGCGTTTTGCTTTCACAAGTTTGTGCATCACATGCATCCAGTGAGTGCCAAGGCCAGGAGGATGTTGGAGCCCCAGAGACTAGGGACTAGAGTTCAGCCTCCATGTGGCTGCTAGGAATGGAACCCGAGTCCTCTGAAAGAACAGCCACTCCTCTTAACCACTGAGCTCTCTCTGCAACCCCTTAAATTGAACGATTTCCACAGATCACGCCAGGAAGGCCTAAGAAAGAAAGGGTCCTTGAGGAAAAATTTTTAGTGCTATATACTGTGACATCTAACATTAGAGTTTAATTTCGTCTATGCTTTGCAGGCTCACTAGGAGGATTAATTAAACAAACTGGCAATATCCAAGTGCTGAACAGCAGTTTCCACGTGACCCAACCTTGGAAGGAAGGTTTCAACCTCTATCCATCCATGAACTCACTCTCTTCAAGAAACAGCTGGCCAGGGCAGAAGAGCCCTTCATAGAATGTTTCATGGTTCCCTAAATGCTTCTTGAAAACTCAGAAGCAGGCACCCTGCCCCAACCTAGGCACAGCCAAACAGGAGAAATCAAAAGGCTACAGCCTCAGGCAAGGATTGTGGTTGTAAGTGGAACTGGGCCGCAAAGGGCCTGAAACTGACAGAGGAAGCACAAACGATTTAGGATCCTATTTGTCCTTCTTATTCTCCCCATCTGGCACAGCAGTGGGAGCAGGGGCCAGAGGCTTCTCTTCTGACGTGTCTCCACCTTTCGAGAGCTTCTTGGCTCGCTGGTATAGCTCATTCAAGTTGAATTCACGAATCACATTCTCCTATGCAAAAGAGATGAACACATCAGGGGCTGCGCGGGAAGGTAAAGCTCATTGCTTAGGTGTAGGAAGTGGTCTAGAAGCCAGAAGAATCAGAGGGCAGAAATCTGTCTTATCCTAGATTAGGATACTTAATAGAGGCCAATTATTGTGCACAGAAATTATTGTACCTACGTGCAACTGTAAAGCAATCCTGAGCCAGGTCCAAATTACTGAAGACAAACCCAGTTGCCTCCTGGCATCTCACAGAGCAAGTCCTTACCATTTTCCCACAGTGCTAGCCACGTAACTACCGAGTGACTGCACAGCTGACATCCAGTGGCTAATCTAAAATCTCTCAGCAGTGGGCGAGTGGCAGAATGCAGACTTAACCCAGCCCCTGCCCATCTTCTTCATGTACCTCAGAAAAGGTCCAGGAGACAGCTCGTCCTTTCTTGTCGATCTGTGGCCGTCGAATTACCTCCTTGCCACCTTGGAACAAGATGAGGGTAGGCAACTGTTTGGTGAGGGGGGACGTACTCACTTTGTACCTACAGGGTAGAGAGGGCTCTGTACACATCACTTCCATCACTCTGAGTAATTCTCAGCTCACACCTTAGCCCAGCATCTCCACACATACCGTGTGCCAACATCTGTGTAACGTCCAACATCTACTTTCCCAAAATTCAGTCCTGCACAGTTGTACCTGGCAAAAAGTGTGTTATTGTTGACTGAAAAACAAAGAAATAGATCAAGGGAACTGGAAATATAAAAAGCTAGGTAAGAAAGGGAAAAAACACCTTTGGATGTGCAAAATTAAACACCAAACGGAGGAAGCATCATCAATTCTACTTCTGATAGGTTTCACTACGCATACTTACTTGAGGGACAAGTCAGCATAGATGGGAGCAAACGACTGACAATCATTAGACCAATTGGCAAAGAACTCCACAATCCAAGTGACCCTCTTGTCCCGCTCCAGTTCTTCCTATCACACAGAGGGAAGAGAGGATAGGCTGAATCACCTGGGCACCTGGGCTTCTCCTTTCCCATAACAAGCTGGTACCCTGACAACCTTTTCTGGTGTGGCTGTTGGTACCAGGGATTCAATCCACTGTCTCATCCATGTGAAGAACGCACACTACCACAAGGGAAATTACCAAATTATTTTTTAATAACTAAATTTTTTTCATTACTGTTTTGGAGCAGGCATGACCACTTACAGGCAGTTTCTCCTGGTCCAAAGACTGAGGCCTGGCAACAAGGCCTTTTTTGTTTTCTCCAGTAAGCCTTCACTTTTAAGTTTATCTGGGCAACTCTGTAGAGTTGGATATGGACAACTCTGTGGGGTGTATTACAAAATTCTACCTTTCATTGTTTAAAGATTTATTTACTTATCATGTATACAGTGTTCTATCTGCATGTACACCTGCATGCCAGAAGAGGGCACCAGATCTCACCATAGATGGTTGTGAGCCACCATATGGTTGCTGGGATTTGAACTCAGGACCTTTGGAAGAGCAACCAGTGTGCTTAAGCTTTGAGCCATCTCTCCAGCCCTCAAATTCTACTTTTACATAGGTTCCAGGGAATAAGTTCAGGTTGTTGTAAATATATTTCAAATATATTTACCTCATGAAGCCCAAGTCACCAGCCTGCCAGTCTATCCTTTGAAACAGAATTTTACTATTTGGCAGGGGCTGCCCTAGAACTCATTATGTAGGCTACACTGGCTTTAAACTTGTAGCAGTGGTGGCGCACTTCTTTATTCCTAGCAGAGGCAGAGGCAGGTAGATCTCTCTGAGTTTGAGATAGACCAGCTTGGTCTATAGAGTATGTTCTAGGACAGCCAGGGCTACACAGAGAAACCCTGTCACAAATAACCAAACGAACCAGCCAAACAAACAAAAACCAAAACCTTGCAGCAATCCTACCCCTCAGCCTCCCAAGCACGAGGATAACGATTATCCACCACCAACCCCAGCTACTTCCTTGCAACCCTGCCCACTGCTTTTACTGCTAAAGAGCACAAAGGCACAGAGCGGGAGCCGAGAGGCAGACAGCAGAATACTCACGTCAATGGTCTTATCACTGAAGTATTTGATGTACTCAGGACCCATGTAGAGGGGAGGCTTGCAGGTCATCAGGAACACTGGACACAGAAGAGACGGCAGAGGTACCAGATAAGGACTGCAGCCTGGCCCTCACAGAGCCTTTATCAAAGAACTTCACTATCGCAAAGTACCACATTACAGAACCTCAACCAGCAACAGGCATTGCCTCACCTATGCAGAGAGTGAGGTACAGCAGGCCCATGCGGATATCCAGGCGGAAGAAAAGAATGGCGTTGGCCACTTTACTAAACATGAAGATGTTGCCGACATGTTGCTCCACAGTGACTGGAACACAGACACACCACAGTCAGGCTGAGCTGAGGGCACCCACTCCGTCCCTTTTCCTGGGGTTCTTTGAAATGGGGACAGGAGAGAGAGGGTACAGGAGGTGAAACTAGTCCCGGGCATGATGTGTGGAAGTGGTTCACTAAATACCCCGCTCCTCCAACAGCAGGAAGGAGCCTCTGCCAGGCGTGAGTACTAACCCAGCCAGGAAAAGGAGGCAGCTTACTAGATCTGCGGTTCTTCATCATCACGATGGCACTGAGGAACATCAGGATCTCCACTTCTCTCTGCAAGACAACCAGGGGCAACAGAGCTGAATGAGGCAAAATATGTAATGTAAACACAAGATCCAGCTCGGGGTGGAAGTAAAGAAAACAGTGAAGCTGGCTGATGTGCAGTGGGATCAAGTCAAAAGAGCCGCGGTTAGGGTCTACCCTTGGAAAATGGCTGGTACCCCTGACCTTTGGGTCTTCCCTTTTCCCTCCCTCCCTGCCTCCTTCTATCCTTGAGACCTGGTCTCACTATCTTGCCCAGGCAGTTCTCCCACGGCGGCCTCTAAAGTACCAGGCTTATTGGGCCGCAGCACCATGGCCCACTGGAGTTCGTTCACCACATTTGCTGTGTGTGTACAGCTGTGCACGTGCCACCACACACCCGTGGAGGTTAGAGTACAACTTGCAGGAGCACCTCCACCGTGTAGTCTGGGCAGGCTTTGAACTTGTGTGCTCCTCCCAGGTGCTTCGTTTTGTCGTTTGCTTTTGAGAAAGGACCTTGCTATACAGCTTAGGCTACAGTCCTTATTTTTTCTTTGAACTGTATTTTGTTTTCCAGAGTCTTTTGTAGCTCACTCTGGCCCCCAATTCCGGTCTTGGTTTCCTTCATCCTTGTCCTCTTGCCTCCACCTCCCAAATGCCAAAGTTACAGGTGTGTACCATCATGCTGTGCTTTTTACAATCACTGTTACTATTATTGTAATTTCTTTTCAGTGAGTCTCAACTTTTTATTCGGTTTTGCACCTTCAGGATACACACAGCGTGAGCCCATATGTAGTGGTGCACACGCGTGAACCCAGCATTCTGGAGAGGAGTAGCAGGAGAAACCCCAAAAGTGCAAACCTAGCTGGTCTACCTAACAAGTTGCAGGCCACTGAGGACTACAGGGACAGCTCCATGTTGCTGCCATAGCCTGTTCCCTTAATCTCCTGGGAGCCCAGTCAAGCCAGAATGGAACTGGAATCACAGATGGTTGTGAGCCACCCCGTGGCGCTAGGAACCTCATGCAAGTGCAGCCAGTGCCCTTAACCACTGAGCCATCTCACCTCTCCCAGCCCCCAGGGTTGGGTCTTCCTAAAACGATTTCAATATTTACTTTTATTATTTTTAACCACATATATGTGTGTTGGTATGTGCAAGTGAGCACAGATCCTGAAAAAGACCCCTAAAGCTGCAGTTACAGGCAGCCACAAGCCTCCTGATATAGGCACTGGGAATCAAATTTGGGTTCCCAGAAGAAAGTATGCTTTTCTTTCTTTTTTTTTTTAACACCCTCCCTCCACCCAATTACCACCACCAGACAGAGTTTCTTTGTGTAGCCCTGGCTGTCCTAGAACTGCTTCTGTAGACTAGGCTGGCCTCAAACTCAGAGATATTCACCTGCCTCTGCCCCCCAAGTGCTGGGATTGAAGGTGTGTGCCACCACTGCCTGGCATCAGTATGTTTCCTAACCACTTAGCCATCTTTCCAGCCCTAAGCTATTTTTAATATAGGCTTAAATTAAGTGTGTGGGTTAAAGGAGAAAGAGGAGTTCAGAAAAGCTAAAAAAATATAGACACTTGAATTTTCTTTACCATAGTCATCTATGCCAGATTGGTGGGATTTGAAGCTGTTATCTTCAAAGGGTGGCTAAAAGCCTAAATGAAATCATAGGGCAATTCTTAAGAGGCACCTGGCAGAGTTACCTTTTGTAAAGTCAGAGTCTAGAGCACAGGACTGGAGGAAAGTAGGGTATCTGGTGTGCTGCTTTGTTTATGTAGTTTTGCAGTGTTATATAGACCCGCCTGGCCTACGTCAATCTCACAGAAATCCACCTGCCTGACTCCAGAGTGCTGGGATTAAAAGGGTACAATACAAAGCCTGGCAACAGTACAGTTTCTTTAATGTAAACAAAGTTAATCTTATCTGAGAGTCCCAGAAAATGTCTGAGGAAAGAAATGCGACCTACCCAAGGTTATATGAATACCTTCAGGCCTTAAGTCCTGTTATTGCTATTTTAACATAAATATCTGTATAGGAAAGAAACATCAGCTCCACAACCGTCACAGCAAATGTTTAAGTATTCTTACATTACTGCTTCTTGGTGGGTGAGGTGCTTCCCCCTCCCTTCACGTTTTTGTAATCGTCCCTGCTTTTCTGTCCCACCTGAGTAAGAGAGTTGTGCGCAGTTACTAAGGCCAGAGTAGTCTAGCAGTCGCTTTTCCACGTAAGTCATGTTATGTCGGCCTGTCTATTGAATAGGTCAGTTAATTGAATAAGGTTAGACAGCACTTTCTGAACGTTCCGTGACCCTCAGAACATCGCCTAACCACACTAAGACCAAACTGTTAAAAATGTTTACAAAATGAATGATATTTCTGCCACTGGCCTTGTCTTCCCCGCTGGCGCCCCACGGAACCTGGCATCACTGTGGAACACAGTTCACGTGTGAAGGAAGCCCTGGAATCTGTTTCTCCACCTTAAACGCGGAGGTGAAGCCTAGGTGACGGCCCGGGCTCCCCGCTCAGCCTGGCGGGCGGCTAGCTCCCGGAGCCTCCCCCACACTGTCATTGTGCACCCGCAGGGCAGGGGCGGTCAAGGTCGAGAGCTACCGGGGCGGGGGGCGCTCACCCAGTCGAAGTCACACGGGTTGCCATCTTCGCGCTGCGTGGGGAGGCCGTCGCAAATGGGCGGCAGTTTCCTCACGAGGAGGAAAGCCACGGAAAGCAGGGCCGACAGAAGGCAGTAAGGTCGGGCCAGCCATCGAGAAAGCCGCGGCACCGAGTACACCAGCGCAATGAGAGGCGCGAGCACGGCCATCTTCCCGGCCCGCTCGCGCAGGCGCCGTCCCGCCCCCGCCAGGCAGCGGACGCCACGCCTCCGGACCGGATGTGGCCCTTACCGGCTGCTACAGCAGAGCAGAAAGGAGTTCAGTGTTCTATTGGCCCCGCTGGCTGTCGCTTTCCCACCTGGGCCATTTTATTGGCTGTTAGACTGCGGAACGCTTCCTGGGCAGGTCGGCGGAAGTAGTTGCCGGAAGGTGGCGGGCGGGGCCCAGCGTGTCCAATGACGGAAAGCCCTTAGGAGAAGGGGGTGGTACCCTGCGAGAGTGCTGTGGGACGAAAGTCGTTAACGCCAGAGCCCGGGTGAAGCGGGAGCGGAGGGCCATGGAGAACTTCACGGCGCTGTTCGGGGCTCAGACTGACCCCCCGCCGCCGCCGAGCGCCCTGAGCTTCGGGCCGGGGAAGCCGCCGCCGCCGCCGCCGCCTCCTCCGGGAGGGGGTCCGGGCTCGGCCCCGCCCCCGACGGCGACCTCGGCCTCCGCGGGAGCCGAGAAGTCGGCGGCCGGAAGCGGCCCCTTCTACCTTATGCGGGAATTGCCAGGTGAGTGGCGGGGCCCAGCGATTAGGGGCCGGTGGGCAACGCCGTCAGCTCCTCGGCCAGTCACCGCGGAGGGGTGGCTTGATTTCATGCGGTGGGTGTGACTCTGCCTCAGCGACAAGTTCTGGGGTCCGGGTTCTCCGACCGCCTCTTGTGACTCTGTAAAAACGTGAGCCGTTGTTTTGAACTCGGAAGACCTGACTTAACATTTCTTGGAGACACTGAGATCAGTTTAAAGTCTGTCACAAATTTGTTGGTTTGTAGCAAGTTGCTTTCCTTGTCAGGGATTCGGAGATTAACCTGTTCAAAGAATTAGAATTGAGTCAGTTCTTCATTCATAAAATTATTTGGAAAATTGGGGGGCGTGGCTCGGTGGTTGAGAACGCTTGCCTGCCCTGCCTGAAGCGTTATTTTCACAGAATTTTCTCTGAGTAGATAGCATTCGAAAATAAACAAACCCATCCGTGGACGGACAAAGAGAAGATACTAGATACATCTAGATACTAGAAACTACGTCAGGAGTCAGGAGTCCTTTTACGTATCTGAGGGGCAGAAGACCCACTGGACTCCAGGAAAAAGAACAAATCCGGTAGTAATGGGAAATAGGTAGAAAGACCTTTATAAAGCAATGTAGGGAGTTTAAAGTTCAAATTGAAGCCATTTCAACATGGGTGGGAATTGATCTATTATTGATTTTCAAATATTCAAAAACACGAGGAATGAAAATGGGATAATCAGAAGTTACTGGTCAGTGTTCAGAAAAAGATAATGGTTTGGGCCAAGTCTTAGCAGTGGAGAAGCAAATAGGTACAGGATACATGTTAGAGGTGGAGCCTACAGATATAGTGAGCTAAATATAAAAGGAGAGAGGAATTGGGGTGTCTTATACAGAGGGTATGGTAGTCGGAGAGTGGGAAGGTGTAGAAAGAAAACTAAAAAAAAAGTCTTCAGCTCCTTCCAGTGAACTATTAACAAAATAGTTTGAAGTTCACGCCTTTTGAATAGGTGTTAATAATTGAGAACTGAGGCTGTGCTTTGCCAATAGGTGTCTTACGGCAGCGTCTTCCTTATTTTAGTTGTTACTGGTTTTTTGAGACAGGGTCTCATTATGTAGCTCGGACTTGCTGGGAATCACTTGATAAATACTGAATCTCCTTCCCAGGCAAATGCAATGTGTTTTGAAATGGAGGGAGGGATGGTGGAAGAAGTGGAGACCAGTAAGCCTGGTCTTCAGGTAGCTTGTTTGTACTTGATATTCAAATACATGGTTTAAGCAGAGTGCTTGCGTTCTTGTCATTCTTATTATTTATAGTCATGTTTCACACAGCTTAGGGAACAAGTGTCAGAAGTGTCTGATGGTTTTCAAAATATAGTTAGCCAAAATGACATCAGGAATGTCATTTGAACTGAATCCTGAAGAATTTATATAGGCAAACAAAATTATGAAGACTTTTTCTCAAAGGAAATAGTATTATAGTTTTGTCATTCTTGTTTTTTACCTAGGAGATGCAGAAATCCATATGGATAGATTAGAAATTTTATATGGAAGAGTAGTGTTTGATTAGGCTCTAAAGCTAAGTTGGAATAAAAATACCATTAGGAAGGCTGGGGCTGTCCCCATACTTGACAAAGCAGGCATGGTGGTACATGTCTATAATCCTAGCCCTTAGGAGGTGTAGGCAAAATCAGGAGTCCAGGGTCATCCTTGGCTTTCTAAGGTCAAGGCTAGTCTTGGCTACATAAGACCCTATCTCAAAAAGGGCCATGGAAACTGGAGAAGTGGCTCAGAGGCTATAAGGTTAAGGACACTTGATGTCCTTACAGAGGACCCAAGCTTGGTTCCAAAAACCCTCCTAGGAGCCTCACAGTTACCTGTCACTCCAACTCCAGGGAACCCAAGACCCTCTGCTGGCCTCCATAGGCACTCAAATAATATGTGACATTCATTCATACACGTAACACACACATGCACACAAATAGGATAAAAACAAGTCCTTCCGGCTGAGTGCATGCCTTTAACTCCAGGCATTGGGGGGAGGGGCAGAGGCAGGTGAATCTCTGAGTTCAAGGCTAACATGGTCTACATAGTGAATTAAGTTATCCACGACTAGAGAGAGAGAGATTCTGTCCCAAAAAATTCTTAATACATTTTTTAAAAAAGTATTAGGCTTAAGTATCATGGGAATTTTAAGTGTGTCGTGTCGTCATGCCCCCCCCCCCCACCAGTATTGAGTATCACACTCAGGGCCTTCCATATGCTACGTAAGCACTGTACCACTGGTTTTGCTGCTGCTGTTGTTTTAACTAATAAGTATTGCTTTATAAAATTACAGAATGTGAGTTCCAAAAATTGGAATAAAAAGGCCATAATGATGTGGACAAGACTTCAGATTTGAAGAAAGAAAAAAAATGAATCTGCATAGAATTGACATAGAAAGAATTGGGAATTCAAGATTTGTATTTAAGAGTCATGACTTCTTTAGAAAGTTTATAAGTCAGACTAAGATCAGAAGGAAGGAGAGGAGGACCTCCCCTATCAGTGGACTTGGGGAGGGGCATTCGAGAAGAAGACAGAGGGAGGGTGGGATCGGGAGGGAAGGAGGGAGGGACTTATGGGGGATACAAAGCGAGTAAAGTGTAATTAATAAAAAAAGTTTATAAATCATTTTCAAATGGAAGTTAACCTCATGCTGCTGTATTTTCATTTCATGTGTGTGTGAGCACCATGTATGTGTGCGCCTGTGTCCAGGGAGGTCAGAGGGTATCAGATTCCCTCTAACTGGAGTCACATAGCTGCCCTATGGGTACTGGGAATAGAACCTAGTCATGTGCTGAGCCGTTCAGCCAGCCCTCATGTTTACTTACTGACTTTTCCTTCCTCTCTTCTTTTTGAGGCAGTCTCACGTCACCCAGGATGGCATGAACTCCTGATCTTCCTGCCTCTGCTTCCTGAATGCTGGAATTACTAGGGTATGCCACTTTGATACACTTGAACTCCTTTTTTGGAAGTTATGAAAAGCACTAGGCATGGTGGCTCACACATTTCTTCCCAGCTCTCAGGAGGCAGAGGTAGGCAGATCGCTTTGAGTTCAAGGCCAGTGTGGTCTACAAATCAACTTCAGGGCAGCCAGAGCTGTTAAACAGAGAAACCTTGTCATGAAAGGAAAAAAGCAACAAGTGCCTTCTCAGCTGAGCCTTAACCATTACCAGCTGGAAGGAGGAGTATCAGCAGAAGGAGCAGATGAGGTAAAGCAAGAGGCAGCGCCCAGAGCTAGGCAGGCCTTGTGACTCGAAGTATCCAACCCAGCTCCACATCACTGTGAGTTATTTCACAGTGGAGGACCAGGTGCAGTGAGACCTAAACCAGAAGAAAAGTGCTGGTTTATTTCAGAAACATCTTCACGTGTAACCTGGGCACTAACCGGTCATGTGAATAAGACACCATCGCTGCCCTCACAGTTCAGAACCAGAACTTTCCCAAGTAAATGTTTGTAACCAAACCACAGTACCTATATGCTTTCATAATTATCAGTGAGGTTGCAGGTTGGATACTTCTCTTTTGTCCATATTATTAGCATATTTCAATTCCTCTGAAAAAAGAGTCAGCCATTGAATATATTGATAGTTCCTTGTTCATATATCTTTTTAAATCACTGAGCCCTGAAAATAATAAAATGCAAAGGAAACAATGGCAGAGAGGGCAGCTAGTATTAGAATTCTAGTTGCTCATATTTTGATTTAGCAGGTCTTTCTAGGTAATACTTGGTATCATGAAAAATAAACCTGTTGGTCACAAGGAAGTCACAGCTACAAAATCTGCTTTCCTATGGTGACCAGTGTTTCTATTAAAAAATAAACGAAGCTAGGCATGGTGCCACTCACTTGACACCAGCATTTAGGAAGCTAAGGCAGAAAGTTGCCCTAAGTTTGAGGCCCAGTAGACCTCCTACACTACAAAATACTATCTCAATAAATTGAACACACACCAGCCAACAGAGGGTTCTTGGCAAGACCTTCATGCCATTGCATCAAACTTGACTTTTAGTTTAGCTGTAACTGAACTTTAAGGTTCTGTTATGTTGATCCAGGCACAGATGTTTGAGACATTTTATGAACAGTAGAACAGTATTTGAGATAATGTCAACTAATTTATTCTAGTTAGCGCAGTATTTTTCTTTCACTTTCTGTGTTCCGTACTTTACTTCATTCCATTTCCATTCCTCAGCCAACAGTATAGTGTTTGGTGTTTTACACTTGACTGAGTTGGGGTGTTTCAGACAGGATCTCCCTAGGTAGCCCAAGCTGGCCTTGAATGTAGCTGTCTTGCCTCAGCCTCCTGAGTGCTGGCATTACAGGCTTACAGACCTGCACCACACCTTTCTATTTCGTTATTACAGGTTTAGTGTCTGTTGTCTAAAACACTTTGTAAAAATGTTTCCAATTTTGCAGTTTTTCAGATTTCAGAATATTTGCATAGATTTAACCACTGATTTTTCCATCCTGAATTCAGAAATGTGAAGTCTGGAATACTCCAAAATCCGAAACCTTTTGAGTGCTAGAATCTAAGAAGTTCAGATTTCATTTTTTCAGATTAGGGATGCTCCAGCTATAAAATGTTCTGCTTTTCTGTGTGTTTTTGTTTTTGTTGTTTTGTTTGTTTTTTGGTAGTGGTGTTTTTTTGTTTTTTGTTTGTTTGTTTTTGAGACAGGGTCTCCACATAACAGCCTTGTTATGAGAAGCAACATAACAATGGAACTAACATATGGAACTAGCTTTGTATACCAGGCTATCTTGAAGCTCACAAACATATGCCTGCCTCTGTCTCCTAAGTGCTTGGCTTAAAGGTGTGTACCACCATGCCTGGCTTTGTTCTGTTTCTTACTTTACAAAATAAGAATGTATAATTTTAATGTTCAGTCACCAGGGAATGGAACTCCTTAAAAGAGTAGAAGTATTGGGAGGAGTGGCCTTATCATAGGTAATGTTACTGGGGATGGGCTTTGAGGTTTTGCCTAGGCTCTCTTCCTGCCTTCTGATTGGGAGGTCGCTCTCACCAGCTTCTCCAACACTATGCTGTCACCATGCTACCCAACATGTTGATAATGCACCAAAAGCGCAAGCAAGCTTTCTCCTAAGAGTTGCTATGGTTCTTGCAGCAGTAGGACAGTGGCTAAAACAGTCATTCTCCTTTAGTGGATGGCTCATTTACATTAAATATGGTCCCGTAAGGCCGCCCTTGCAAAAGATCCAGATTCACTTCCTGGTGTAGCTCAGCCATCTGTAACTCCAGTTCTCGGGAATCCAGCCCTCTCCTGAAGCTGTAGGCACCAGACATACACATGGGACACATATATGTAGACAAAACAAACATAATTGTCAATTTGTTTCCTTCTGTGTTAGCAACAAAAAGTTATCATCTGCTTTTTGGTATAATGTCATTATTACTGTTTTCTAGGCAGCACAGAGCTGACGGGCAGCACCAATTTAATCACACACTACAACCTGGAACAGGCCTATAATAAGTTCTGTGGCAAGAAAGTGAAGGAGAAGTTAAGTAATTTCCTGCCTGACCTGCCAGGGATGATTGATCTCCCTGGCTCCCATGACAACAGCAGCCTCCGCTCTCTCATAGAGAAGCCTCCTATTCTTGGTGGCTCTTTTAATCCCATCACAGGGACTATGCTGTCTGGTTTCCGCCTCCACACTGGCCCGGTAAGTCCCTTCTTAGAGAGGAAGAAAGCAACTGGCCTAAAAGGAATGTAGGTAGTTTTCTGTCCATGTCTGTTCCTTCAGAATTTACTGAGAACAGATGATGGGAGAGAGAGTTTCCTTTCTCTCCTCACCTGGACCTTCCTTTGGCTCCCTCAGTTGCCAGAGCAGTGTCGTCTGATGCATATCCAGCCTCCCAAGAAGAAGAATAAGCACAAGCACAAACAGAGCCGCACTCAGGACCCTGTCCCTCCAGGTGAGGAGCACTTCTCTTCAGACCAAAACCCTGACCCAGGTCTGGCCTGGCCTTCACAGTTGAGCTTACTTGTTCTGGACTCCCAGATTTTGCCCAAGAAGAAATTCATGAAAGGACATTTCTTGAGCTAGTAGTGACATGGTACACAGGAGCTCCAGCAGCACCTCTATCCTTCCTGGACACTGAGAAAAAAAGTGGTTAGGATTCTTGGAGTTAGGTTTTCCTATAGCCAAGAGTTCATAGCAGTAGGTGTTTAGCTCAACAGGTCATAGACTCTTAATGTCTCCTACAGAAACACCATCTGATTCAGATCACAAGAAGAAGAAAAAGAAAAAAGAGGAGGATCCTGAGCGAAAAAGAAAGAAGAAAGAGAAGAAGAAGAAGAAGGTAAGGACTGTGTAGCACTCACTGACTTTTCCCTTTGTCACCCTTTTTTAAAATGAATACATGTGCTTCCTTGCATGAGTGCAGTGCCCACAGAGGCCAGAAGAGGCTTTGGCCCTGGAGCTGGAGTCCGCCTTATAGTGGTGTGAGAACTGAACCTCTCTCCAGCCCCCACCTCACCATTCTTAAATAGAATCCATTGCCTCAGTTTAGACCCAGGATTGAAAACCCAGGACAAACTTTTCTTTTACAACACTGGCCAAGGTAGGGTTAACCAGGCCTCACTCCTACTAGGCAAGTACTCTCTCCCTGAGCCATATCCACTCTCCTTTTAAATACCATTTTCCTTGTTTATAGATAAATTTTGAGAGGGTTTCACTGGTTTGCCCAGGCAGGCCTTGAATTTGCAGTCTTTGTGATAGTCTATGCCAGCGGCCTCATCTTATAATATCTATGTAGGTTTTTTATTGTTTTGAGACAAGGTCTCAAGATGTTGTCTGGACTGGCCTGGAACTCACTGTGTAGAACAGGCTGGCCTCTACCTCAGATCTGCTTGCTTCTGTCTCCAGAGTGCTAGGATTAAAGGCGTGTACCACCACATCCAGCTAGGTCCATCTTTTAGTTTCTGACGTTCTCACCCCCTTTTCTTTGTCTTCTCCAGAACCGACACAGTCCAGACCACCCAGGTATGGGCAGCTCCCAGGCCAGCAGCAGCAGTAGCCTTCGCTAACAGGGCCACTGGACTTTGCCAAGGAAGACTTCCCTGTTATACTCAGCCTGCTTACGAAACTCTTCCAGGCGTTTGGACACTGCTGTGGGAGCATCCAACAGCTGTGCTTGTGGCTAACACACTTTAGAGAAGGACCATATATTTTTATGGTTTAGCCCAATTGGCTTTTTCAAGGATATCCCTTCTCACAAGAAGCTATTCTTTTTTTTTTTCTCAGCCTCTTTGACTCCAGGACTTTTTTGTAAGTGTTTAACAGACTGGCTAGTTAACGTATGGCTGCGTTTTAAGAGGCAAGTGCTATTCTACTTGAGTCAATTTAAGATCAGGCACCGCATACATTTTGGATATTGCCATCACAGTATCTTCTTAGCCTGCTGGGAAATCAAAATGAGAGCAGAGCAACACAATTTGCAGTGTTTTCCGCCCAGACATAAAATACTCTGCCCATAATGCTCAGAGCCAAGTGCTTGGATATCTTCAGACTCCCTCAGGAAAGCTGGCCTAATAAGGTTTATGCCCTTGTTGATATACCACAGGGAACTGGTGATCCACAATCACCAGTAGATTTTAGCAGAAAAAAAAAAAAATCAAAAAACAACTTGTGTTTGTCCCATAATGCTCCCACATTTTTCTGGGGCCTGATCCACCCTTGTGTACACTAGTTTATCTTTTCCTCTCCCTTTTTTCCATGTGTGCTTTTTAGATGAACCTTTGGCAAGAAGTTTAATGTTTCTCTTATTTAGCTTTTAAAATCTGGATTTGGTTGTTTTGGGAAGAGTTTTTTGTTTGGGCTTTTTGAGACTGTCACACTTTGCAACCCTGGCTGGCTATAAAGTCTACACTTACCTCAAGCTCAAGATACTCACCTGCCTCTTCTCCCAAGTTCTGGGACCAAAGGAATGTACCACCATACATAGCTGGTTCATTTTGTGTGTGTGTGAGAGAGACGGGGTTTCTCTGTGTACCCTGCTATCCTGAACTCGCTTTGTAGAACAGGCTGGCAAATTCAGAGATTTACCTGCCTCCACCTCCTTGAGTCCTGGGATTAAAGGGGAGTGCCACCAAGCCTGGTTGCTCTTTTTACTTTCTAAAGAGGAAGTTAAAGACAGAAGAGTTCTCTTAAGACATCAAAAGACAAGGTGTTTTTGTTATGAAAAATTAGGTTCTTTGTATCCATCCAGCAGAGCACCTAATTTGGTTTCCTTTTGACTTCCACAAAACCATTCAGCCTGCCTTCACCAGACAAAACACAAGTCAGGGGAGCTGGTTAGATCAGGATTTATTTTATTCCTTGTTGGTTTAAAATGGCTAATCAGAATAAAAAAATTAAAGGGTCTCTGTATAGAGGCTGGGGTCTTCCCTGTTGAAAGGTCAGAACCCAGCTACCCCCTCTACCCAGCACCATATTGAGGTGGGCTAAGGGGTAAACCCCAGGGGACAACTGGAGGGGCTGAGGCCTGCCACTCCTTCTCTCTACCCCATGTTTGGCATATGATGAAAAATATTGCTTTTTGGATTCTTCTCTCCTGGCCTTGGATTGTAAGATCATTTTAACTGCAGATTATAGGGAAGCATTGAAGGGGTTTAATGAAGCCCACCACAATCCCTGTGTCCCGAGAATGGGGCAGGGTTGCCTGATGTTTCTTAAATTAGGCCAAGCTCTCTTCCTGATCTCCTACCATACCACCGTTGTGGAACTGTGACCCCTTTCTGGGGAAACTAGATGTCAATGAGCCTAGAAAACTAGCTCAAGTTCCTTTATCCAACCAAGAACCCAGACTTACCCAGGTTTCGTTTCTAATCACTCAGCACCACCAGAGGGTGCTGTTTCCTCAGTGGATAACTGGGACAAAAGAGAGGGAGCCATGGAGAAAAGGAAGACTTTAATGTCTCTCTTTTCCTGCTGGTCTAAGGAAAGGGAAGAATAAAGTCCCCTTCCTTATATATATATATGTGTCTATATATCCCTCCCTTGTTTTCCCATCCCAGGATAGATATATAATTTCTTTGATATTTATAATATATATATATATATGTACACACACACCTGGTAACGGAGAAGAGGAAAAAAATAGAATCCGTAACAATAATAAAAAAAATTATTTCTGGTTTAAAAATGATCTGGTTCCCTCCAGGGTGAGCAATTGCACAAATGTCCACTGAGTCTGGTCCAGGGATCAAGGAAGGGGAAGATCTTAAAAGATCAAAGGTGGAAGGGAGGGGAGGGTTGCCACCCCCAGTCTCAGGGCCCCAAGTCTCCTTAACCCCATGGCATTTTATAAAACAAGCCTCATCCTGTTGGAATCGGTGGTTTAAAAATGTCCATGCAAAGTAGGGGAGCCCCTTGAGGGAAGGGAGGTGGCCACCTGAGGCCCTTTGGTGTAGGTGCAGAGGTGTGGGGGAGGGGAGGCGCCAAGATTCACACAGAAATCTCATAAGTGGTACCACCCACCCCTGACACCTTCTTGACTCCTCCCCTCGTGGGGCTACTGAGAGGTGGCTGCCCTGGGCCAGGGGAAGCAGAGCCTATACTCTTGGGCTGTCCATTGGATTTGCTGTAGGTGGTCTTGAGCTGTACTTCATCTCTGGGGGGGAAAGAAGAAACAGACATCAGGAAAATGATGCACAAAATACGCACAAAACGCACACAAAAATGGTCTGATATGGGGGGAGGGGAGAGCTTTTCACATACTTTCTTACCCAAACAATCCAGTCCTTTTTACTTTATTGACATGCTTAAGATAAGGCTGACTCTCTTTGTCCCCAATTCATTCTTAACCACAGCTCTCACACACTTTTTGGCAAGTAAAACTTTGAGGAAGATAGTATTACAGGAATATTATCAGTCTTCAACATCTCAGGAGGGTTGTCCATAAGAGCAATCAACTATGAAACTGTTCTAAGGATAATATCCCAGGGCCTACAGTACACTACAGTCACGTTGAGATGAAGACCCAATGCCTCTTGCTACTTAAGCCGAACGAGGGGACAGAAGACAAATACTTACTTGGGGGTCAGTAATGGCTGCAGTGCTACTTCCTCTGTCTCAGAGACACCAGATGGGGCTTTTTGGCTGCTGTAAGACATTGATCGGCCCAGGTAGGGGGCAGTTGGGCCTGGTTCAGGGGACCCTAGTCCCCGGCCCCTTAGCCCATCTGGTTTGCCAAAGCGGGGTACAGCTGGGCGTCCCAGTGGAGTCTTGCTCAGGGGTGATCTCTTTGAGTCATCTGAGGAGGAACTAGTACGAGGGGCCTGGCCAGAGCCTGGTGTTGACTGAATGCCTGAGTCTCCCACACCTGGCTCTTCCTCACGTCCTGCAAGTGGAGGCGACTGTCGTAGCAGCTTCTCTCGCTCCTGGAGGGAGGCCACAATGTGGCGAGACAGATTGTCATAACGGACTGGTGAGGGCTCTCGGTGTGGTGGGCCGGTTGGCACCAAACGTGGATGCCTCTCGGCTTCCCGTTGCTGGGCCAGCCGGGCTGAAAGGAAGGGAGAGGTGTAGCCTAAAGGTGGGTCTGGCTCAGGCCCTGCCTGTACTGACTCAAAATCAGGGCTGTCTGAAGGAGTGAGGAGGCTGTCGTAAGATAGACTTCCATTGCGTGTCTGATTGGCCAGGCTCTTATAGGAGGTGGACGTGGTGCCCTCTGAACGAATGGACTGCAAGTGGCCCAGCTCAAAGCCCGTGCCCTGGGCTGACTTGAGGCTGGATGACCGTGAACCACTGGACAATGGATCAAAATGAAAGCTTTTGCCAAAAGTGGGAGACCGAAAGCTCTCTGGCTCCAAGCTGGGCTCTGAGCGGTAGCTGGGCTGGCGGCTGCTATCTGCAATTGAAGTTGGCTCCTTCAGACTGTCTCCACGACTCAGCTGTGGAAAATGAGTAAAACAGTCTTAGCACTCTTTTTGACAACTGCCAGACAGTAGAACTCAAACAGACACTGAAGAACAAATTATACACCAGTAGTACACTTCAAACTTGGACATCATGTGGTTTCTCTTAATGCAAAGCTGTGACTTGGAACAAATACCTCATTTTAAGAGGCAAGAAATGAGGCTTTCAGAGACTAGCTTGGCAGAAGTGGTTTCTGAAATCTGACTTGACTCTAACTGGTGTTTTTATCCTGTATGCATTATTGCTCCTTTTTTGATGAAAAACATAAAGGAATTCAATTCCATTAATGCCAATAATCAATAAATGCCCTTAATGTTTACATTCCCTCTTTTCCTTAAGAACTAGCGCAGCTTCTTAGAGTACACAGTACCTTGGCGCTGGAGGAATGAGGCATGGCGGCGGACGCACTGCTGCTGCTGTAACCTGGTCGATACTTGTACATGGTAGGTGTAGGGGGGCTGTCCTTGCCCAAGAGACTGCTATCTATGGGGGAACCCAGAGAGCACTACTTTACAAGTTCATTCTTTTAACTTCCATGGAGTCTCTAAAAGACATGGTAGAGTAAAGTAGACCTAATAAAAGCAAAGTCTAGAGAACAGTATTTTGCTGCAATTAGTCTTTAGGACTCAGTAGGGCCTGGTCCTTAGATACAGGCCTATAGTCCCATCTACTCAGAAGGCTGAAGCAGGAGGACAAGTGGTGAGCAGACACACACATGCAGGTCAAGTACCCACAGACACACAATAAAAATCTAAAACTAATGGTAAGGCCGGGTGTGGTAGTACATACCTTTAATCCCAGCAAAGGCAAAGGCAAGCAGACTTCTTTTTTTTTTTTCTTCATATTTTATTTAACTTTTTTTTTTTTTTTTTAATTTTATTTTTCTTATTAGTTACACGCAAGCAGACTTCCATGAGTTCAGTGACAGGCTGAACTACATTGTGCTTGTTTCTTTTTTGTTTTGTTTTTCGAGACAGGGTTTCTGTGTAGCGTAGCAGAACTGGAACTAACTTTGTAGACCACGCCTTACCTCAGACCCGCCTCTGCCTCCCTGGTGACCCACCACTAAAGGTGTGAGCCACCACTACCTGGGAGGAGGTACTGAATTTTTTTATTTTTATTTATTTTTTTGTTTTTGTTTTTTGTTTTTAGAGACAGGGTTTCTCTGTGTAACAGCCCTGGCTGTCCTCTGCCTCCCTGAGCACTGGGATTAAAGGCATGCACCAACACACCCAACTGATGATTTTTCTTTTTTTTTGAAGAGCAAAGATCTATACTAGTTTCAGAATTTTTAGTGGGCAAATGCAACAAACATACTAAGAAACTCTCTGATTCTTTTACTCAGAAAGTAAAAGCACTTGCCATAAAAGCCTAATGACCTCATTCAATTTCCAGAATCCATAGTAGAAGGAAAGAACCAAACTTCTGGAGGCTGTCCTTTGATCTACCTACCCCACCAAGCCCCATGCACAGATATAGTATGTAAGACTGTAAAAAGCAGTTCTCTGCAAAGTCTAAACCACTCCCCTGCTCCCTGGCCCCCCTCCTTCACTTTAAGCCATCCAAGGAAAACTACTCGAGTGTCATCTGCTGGGTGTCCTCAGCTCTAATTCTGAGCGTCACCTGCTGGGTGTCCTCAGCTCTAACTCTGAGTGTCCCCTCCAGCCCTTATGTTCTGAGCAGCTTACACGGCACCTCATTTCTGTCTTCTACCTCTACGATCTCCCAGATCAAGGCAGCCCTTACCCTCATTAGTACCCAGGCTGAGGTGGGTTCGCAGCCCTGTATATCGACTCAGGTCCGGCTTAGGAGGAGGTGGAGGTTCCGCATCTGCAGACTGGCTCTCCGTTATCTCTAGGCTTCCCTTAGACTAATAAATGAAAGGAGGAAATATCAGACTGGGAAACTGCAGTAAGATAACATTAAGTTGGCATTAAAGTACTGGGACAAGTTAGTTTGGAATAATAAAGAACAAAGAAAAGTTGAGCATCTAACATCTGAAAGATGTCTTCATGGACATGGAAAGAAACAGGCTCGGTATATATTGTCATTGAACTTGAAATCTAATAAAGAAAAGATCTGTATTTAAGTGACTTTAACACAAAGATGTACACTCAATGCAAGTTTCTAGCTCTTTGCAATGGGTGCAATTCTCTGGGTTTCCCTGGCTTTACTTCCGTATTGCTCACCTTAGTCCTCCTCAGTTCTCCCTGGATGCCATTATCCATGATCTTCACAGTTATCTGCCCATCTGACACTTCTGGTCGAAGGAAAGGAGGTCTGATTACAATGGTCTTCTCTTTCTTTGGTCTCCCCAAATACCTGTGTAACAAGAGTGAGAAGGCTTTCACTTACTATTTCATTCAAAATTTCTACTTGCACACCAAGTGTGAGCATTGTGCACATACAGTAAACAGGCATGGACTGAGGTATATAGCTCAGGGACAAAGAACTAGACCCCCATATTCACCATCAAAAACACCATCCCAACAATTTACTACCAAGGTTAGCACTAAACTAAGTGATCTGATTCAATGCGCATCTTCATCAAGAACAGGCTTTTCCAGACAGGCATCCAGCACGCCACCTTATGCATCCCCAGTTCTCAAGGGCCATTGACCACACTTAAAACACTATCCATTGAACTCAAGAAGTCACCAAGGGATCAACATGTCTCTGCCTTGTAGCTCTCGCCATTCTAAAAGCAAAACCACCCCAAAAGCCCATTTTCCATCAGACTTCCCTTATTCAGAACAAACCCAAAGGAGACAAAACTTTGCCCAAGAAGTCGAAGGCGTGGGTGTACCTGGGTGCTGGAGAACTGCAGAGGACGCGGCTGACATTGTTACAGCAGCCATTGGTGAAGGGGTTCACACCTCCACGGAATTTACCTGTAACCTGGTAGATAAAAGGAACTGGTGAGCCAGACTATGCCAAGAAGCAAAGTATTGTGCAGCCACTCTTTTGGGAAAAGACTTGACACTTGCGATGACGACGAATGGGGTTCTAGTTGACCTCACTAAAGCCGACCCCAAACATCAGATAAAATGGGGTTAGCTTTCTGAATAGTGACTAAAGTAGCCTACAGATGAACTCCCTTATGAATTGTTAATAGTAACTGCATATATCCTCTGCATACTAGCTATATCCAATACAGTATGATATATCCACAGATGAGAGAACACAGACTGCAAGGCAAAAATAAGCAATTAAGGTCACCTCCTCTTATGTGCTTCATAAAACCTGTCCCAGTTAGTTTCTATAAACCCACATATTTGTTAAAAGAATTACAGGGCCATTTCTCTCCCCCGCCGCCCCCCTTTTTGGCTTTTCAAGATAGGGTTCTCTGTGTAGCCTTGGCTGTCCTGGAACTCACTCTGTAGACCAGGCTGGCCTCAAACTCAGAGATCCACTTGCCTCTGCCTCCCAAATGGTGGGATGACAGACGTGTGGCACCACGCCTGGATTACAAGGCCATTTCTTAAGGTTATTTTTCATCCCCTTTTGGAGACAGGGTCCAAGTCCATCATCCTACTGCCTCAGCCCTAAGTAAGATCCCAGATGTGCACCACCATTCTCAGCTTTACTTTCCTAACGGAGGGCCTCGGCCTACCTCACTCTCTTTGCCACTACTATTACTCTCTATATCGTAACAGTAGTATTTGCTGATAGTCTGTTTGTGAAAGTGATATGCTCTTCACTAGTAAGGGCTTAACACATGCCCTGTTCAGTCCCCTGGTACCTGTTCATTGGTTGTGCGTCCCCTAGCCACCAGCACCACATGAAATCCTGTGAGGCCAGCTACAGGAATGAAAAATAAGCCAGCCACACACATCACTGCCATTCTGATTCCAAGTAGTCAAGGAAAAAAGAAAAATGTCACTTTGCTCTCCCCAGCTCTACTGTGACCACTTCTGCTTTAACTTTCCTGATTCAAGGACTTGACTTGTCCTCCCAACCCCATCCTACAAGCCAAAGGCCTTCAAGGATACGTGACAGCAGTGCGGACCTCTGAGAGTTCTTCCATGTGATAGAGGACATAAAGGAGGCCAAAGCCAAACACACCCATAATGTGGGCTGTCAGGGAAAGAAGGAAAAGGAAGAAATATCTGTAGTTCCTGCGACCGATACAGTTGTTCACCCACGGGCAGTGATGATCAAATTCCTAGGAGCAAAAAGAGACAGAATAAAAGCATCCCCAGAACATAGCACTAGGGTTGGCAGAGGCTGCCCCAGGCGAAGGCATCGGCCACCAAGCCTGACCACCTGGGTTCAATCCCTGGGACTCACATGCTAGAAAGAGACAACCAACCCCTGCTAGTGGCCCTCTAACATTCACATGTTTGCCAGGCACACCTATATACATACACACATGTACACACACACTCTCACATACACAAAAAGAAGACAAAAACCAAAATAACAAAAAAACAGTATTAGATCCCTTCTGTTGAAAAGAGGAACAAAATAATAAAACTTAAGTTTTACTTTTAGTAATTTATAATCATAATCATGTTCATCATTTAGTTACAAATTTTAAAGTTCTAAAAAAAATTACATTTACAATACTTAAAGCAGTTTCGATTCCTCTATGTTAACGGAAAGAATGACCTCCCAGAGGTTAGTCAAAGCCAAGTTCTCACGCTGATCTAAAGTTTGGCATGGTGCTACAAGTCTACAACTCCAATACTTAGGACACAGGAGAATGGCCACAAGTTTGAGGCCAACCTGGTCTATACACTATGTTCTAGGCCAGCCATGGCTAAGTATAATAAAGTCCTTGCTTTAAAATAAATAGATAGATAAATTCTATGGGACCAAAAAGGCAAATGTTGGCAAAACATTCAAGATTTATGAAAATAAAAATAAGACAACAAAGAATGATAGCTATGAAAACAGAACTAAACACAAGAACATGCTTTTTGTAGAAGAGATTAACACTAAGTAACCACAGGGTGGAAGGCTGAAGCTATGAATCCTGGGGTCAGAAAAGCTGTTGTTAAAGCTTCCCGGCGTAGTAACAGAGTTTGGTGCTGGCTCTCATGTGTGCTCCTCGAAATGCCATTTGATTCAGCTGGCCCGTGCACCTTTGGCAGCTTGACAGGGCTATGCTTCAGGAATCTACTCTACAGGCTACAAGGCTGGCTCAGTGACTAGAGTGTGCTGCTCCTGCAGGACCTGACATCAACTCACAGCACCACATCAGGTACTTTAGAAATGACCCAAATCAGGCTCTGGGAGGATCCTAACCTTTTGGCCTCCTTGGTCACTGGGACGTCATATGAAAACACCCACAAATACACATACACATAATTTAAAAAATGAATCTTTGATGAAAACAATTTACTCTAGGGGTGCAAAGATGGCCCCTGGGTCTGAGTCCAGCACCCATAGAGTGGCTCACAACCAACCATGGGAAACTCTAGTTCCAGGGGATCTAATGCCACCTTCTGGCCTCCTCAGGCAGGTATACTCAAAAATAGAAAAACAAAACTTTATTTAAAGTTTATTTTTAAAAAGAGAGTTGAAGAGATCTACAGGACTCAGGCTCCCTCCCCCACATGGATGCTCACAGATGTCTGTAACTCCATTTCCAGGGATCTGACTGACACCTGTTTCTGGCCTCCAGAATGCACACAGTGCCCAGGCAAAAGCATCCGTGTACATAAATAAAATGATAAAAACTGTGCTTACAAAGGAAACAGAGTGCACTCGACAGGACGGAAGCAGACAATGTGGGATGGACACCGAGGCTCACCTCCACGCAGTTGTCACAGACGCTGCAGTGGGAGCACCGGGGAGGGCGGTAGAAGCGGCAGGTGGCACACCACTTCATCCGCACCTGGATGCCCTTGATCTCCACTGTCTTGTAAAGGGGAGCGCGGAAGTCGTCTTCTTTGTCTTCGTCCTCTTCAGCTAGAGAAAAAAAGAACCTTTTAAAACAACTATGCCCAAACTACTGAGTACTAGGAAGACAGAATGTTTAAAACTCGAGTGTGCCATGAACGCAGTGTTTAACCCACTGGTGTGGGGCTACAGACAGCTGTGAGCTGTGAGTGCTGGAATTGAACTCAGGGTCTCTGCAGGGGTAATGTACACTCCTAACCACCGAGCTCTCTCTCTCTCTCTCTAGCCCCAAAACACAGTTTCTAAAGTCCTTCAACATAATGTTGTATTTTATAAATCACAGCTCACATCAGACTGCATGGCTAAAAATAAAAGTTTTCCCCTCATACAAGGAATAGCAAGAATACACATTCTTAATTAAAATATTTGTTATTTGTCATTATTCTGTGTGTGTAAGTGTGGGCAGAAGACAACTCTCAGGAATCAGTTCTCCCTTCACTGTGGGGTCAAGAAATTGAACGCATATTTATTTTCATTTTATGTACGTATGTTTGCCTGAAGTATATGCACCACATGGGAAGAGTGCCCCCATAGGCAGAATAGGGCATCAAATCCCCTGGAAGAAGAGTTATAGACTTGTGAGTAAGCATGTGAGTGATGGGAATAAAACCTGTGTCCTCTTTAAGACTAGCCTGTGTTCTTAGCCACTTAGCCATCTCTCCAGCACAATATAAATATTTCTTTGGGGTTTGTTTTTGTTTTTTTCAAGACAAGGTTTCCCTGTATAATAGCCCTGGCTGTCTTGGACCAGGCTAGCCTCGAACTCAGAAATCTTCCTGCCTCTGCCTCCCATATGCTGGGATTAAAGGCGCTCACCACCTCGCCCAGCCATAAATTCTTAAAAAAAAAAAAAAAAAAAGGAGTAATCTGTTAATGGATGCTGATACCCTTCCTTCCCCGGTCCCTACTTCCAGTGATGCTGCCTACAAGTGAATGCTAATTATCGTGTGAAAACACATTAATATCTTCTTTTATCTGTGTCTACATGCATATAAAAACTGAATGAAAATTTTATAGGGCTGGTGGAATAGTGCAGCCAATAAAGGAACTGGCTGTCATGCCTGACAGCCTGACTTTGGTTCCTGGGACTCATGAAGTGTAAGGAGAGAACCAACTCCATGTGTGCAAGGTGAACTACGACACACACATACAAAGTAACATATATATGCACACAGAAAACGGAAGTAGCCCTTTTCTGGCATGCAGACGGAATACTGTATATATAATAAATGAATTTAAAAAAAGTTTAAAAAATTAAGTAAATAAAAACAATTTTTTTAAAGTCTTTTTTTGACAGTTTCTCTGTGTAGCTCTAGCTGTCCTAGAACTCCCTCTGTAGACCAGAGTGGTCTCAAATTCATATTCCTCTGCCTCTGCCTCCATGAGTGCTGGGATTAAAGGCATGTACCACTGTACCCCCATGCAATTAACTGAAAATTAAAATTTACATTTAAGTAAAAATTATTTTTAAAAAACTCATGGTTTCTGCCTTTGAGAGGTTTACAGCCTAATGGGAAAGGGAGCCTGGGAACTATCAGCTGATACAGGTGATCGCCTCTCCATGTGCTACTGGACGCAGGTGAGGAAGCAGTTTGTTCTGCATTGGGAAGTAGGCTTTAAAAGAAAGGTACTGTGCTCAAGGAGGGCGCAATGGCACACACCTGTATTTCTAGTGCTCAGGGAGATGGAGGCAGGTGGATCTCTGTGAGTTCCAAGCCAGTCTCGACTACAAATGAGTCCAGAACTGCCAAGGCTACCCAGAGAAACCCTATCTCAAAAAAAAAAAAAAAAAAAAAAAAAGAAACCAAAGAAAAGGTGCTCAGAAAGTGACAGCAAATGCTGATTTTTTTTCCTTGGTCTACATAGTATGAATCTATCTTAAAAGATAATTTACCCACCAAAATACCTTTTCCCACAAAGAAATCTCTTGCTCCAAAAAGTAATAATACAGGCATTAAAAATGAAGTTTTCAGCCAGTCATGGGAACAAATACCTTTAATCCTAGAAGCAGTGGATCTCTTGTGCGCCACGCACAAGGTATTGGGTTCAATCCCCAGACTGGAAGAAATATATGCACATATAAAATGATGGTTTGTTTCTGATATATGGTCTTACTACATAGCCCTGGCTACACCGAAACTACATAAATCTGCCTGTCTCTGTCTCTGCAGACTGGGATGAAGTTGTGCAACCATGTCCAGCTCATACGCAAAAGCTTTCAGGGATGTAGTGCTGTTAAATAGGAGCTAAATACTGTAAATGATAAGGTGAAGGGTCAGAAATTCTAAGGCACCAAGCATTTGACTTACAAAAATTTCTGTGCTGAGATGACAGTGCATGGCTATGTTCAAGGGTTCTGGGGAAGTTGAAGTGGGACAGTTGTGTGAGCCCAGGTTTGAGGCTAGCGTAGGAGCAAAGGGAGATTCCATATATCCTTCTGTACTTGGCAATTTTAAAGTAATGACCTTAAAAATATCTTAAAAAGCCAGGCAGTAGGGCTGTCGGACTCTGTGGCCTGCTCTTTGATCACTTCCCCCTGGTATGTGTGGAGCAGCCTTACCAGGCCAAAGAGGAAGAGGATGCAGGCAGTCCTGATGAGACTTGATAGGCTTGGGTCAGATGGTAGGGGAGGAGAGAAGGACTCCCCTTTCTGAGAACTAGGGAAGAGGGAGGGAGGGTGGTACTGGGAGTTGACAAGGGAAGAGCTATGATTGGAACGTAAAGCGAATAAACCATAAAAATATAAACAAACAAACAAACAAACAAGCCAGGCAGTAGTGGTGCACACCTTTAATCCCAGCGTAGGAGGCAGAAGCAGACAGATGTTTTCAATCACCTTCTGATTGGTCAAAACAACAGCTAAACAGGCAATAGCAGGCCAGGAGAGGAAGAGACTGTGTGTGTGTGGTGGGAGGTGCAGGGAGGGGGGGGTTGCAGCTTCCCAGGACACAGATGTTCCCATGACACAGATGAAGAAGGAAGTGCCAGGGCAAGACTAAGAGGACAGATAATGGGCCGCGCATCTTCAAAGTAGGCCAGGCCAGAACTGCCAGGTTAGAATAGAGTATCTGCCCCGCTATAGGCCCAAAGCTATCATTAATACATATAAAGGTCTCCATTGTCATTATTTGGGAGCTAGCTCAAGCATAAAAAGCCTTGCATTTACATAATAGGCTACTAACTATCTGATGAATGAATGTTAATAACTCATTAAAAACATCTTTCCTTGGTTTTGGGGTACAAAGAGCCTTTTCTTACAGAAATCCCAAATGATCACTAACACTGAGGCAGGCTTTCAGAGCACAACAGCGTTCAGCAAAACCTCATCTCACTTGCTATCCCAAGTCTGATTAGAATATGATATCAGATGTGTGAGGTGTCATTAGTAACAATTTTTTGTCAGCTCATGGTCTCGCCATCTCTTCCTCCTGGTACTTCCTATTCTCATCCACTTTCCAAAGAAGAGCCTACTTCCTCTATGAGCAGGACTTCCAATACGCACTAGAAAGCATCCATTTCTCTGCAAATTTACTTTCAGCTTTTCCCATTCTATTTAGCTTCACATTCTTCTCTGACTCCATTTCCTCATGCTACCAACATGGTGGTCTTCTGTTTTGTAAAAGGTTTGCTTCTCCCTTAAAACAGCATACCATCCTCTACCTTCTTTGCTTAAAGACAAGAGGAAATCTAACACTTGCTGATTCTGCTTCCTCATTTTCCTTCAAACTGTAATTCAGCTCTATCTTTTTCTTATACACACATAAGTATACTTCTTGAACCACAATTACGATCAAGTTTTTGCCTGGTGATAGTGGCTCTCACCTGTAACTGCGGCACCCAGGAGGCTAATCCAGAACAAGGCCAGCCTGGGCTACAGAGGGAGACCCTGCCTAGAAAGTATCCTTTAAAGAATCAATTCTTAGTGACCAAAACAATGGAGATTTTGAGTCACTATACTACCAATAAGTCAGTCACTTCATGAATTCTCCTCGGCTTTCTCTTTCCTCTCTCCTCCTTCTTGTTCAATCCCTCTTCAATGGCTTTTTCCAATACGCACAATAAAAATGGCAGAACAGACCAGGTCTTAACTCATCTCTTTCCTAAGCTTACTCTACTTTCTCTAGAAAATCTTTACTCTTGCTGTTTCAAATACCATAGCTGCACACTCCTAAAACAAAGTATTTAACTCTCACATTCAATTGCCCACTGGGTACCAAGGAGTAGCTAAAAATTCATTATCTGGGTCTAAGAGAATAGCTCAATGGTAGAGTGTTTGTCTGGGCCTAGGCTCAATCCCTAGCACAGAAAAAAACAAAAGCAAATATACAGCCTATTCAGTTATAAAAAATCAGCATCCAAACCAGGTGGTGGTGGCACAAGCCTGTAATCCCAGCACTCAGGAGGCAGAGACAGAAGGATCTTTGTGATTTCAAGGACAGACTGCTCTACAGAATGAGCTCCAGGGCAGCCAGAGCTGTTACACAGCAAAACCCTGTCTTGAAAAACAAACAAAACAAAATTTATTTAATTTATCTCCCAAGTTATGAACCTTAAAACTACAACAATAAAACTCTCCTCTCCCATCTAAGTACCACAGAGGCCTAACCTTGCTCAGCTTCTGAGCTCAGACAAGATCAAGCATGTTCAGGGTTGGGTAGCAGCAGATTATTTTTCACTCTTTGCTCTACCCCATTAAGCTGTCATAATGATTCTGTTAAATCTACTTCTAAAAAAGCTGTAAATCTAGCCTTAAACTCAAATTTTTGCCAATGCCTATACACTGAAGATTTATTTTCTGTAAATTAAAGACCCCTTGGTATGAAAGAAAAAAAGCATAATGTATTTACCAGAAGCTTAATTGTTTAATTTAGCACATGGAAGTCCTTCACAGCTTGGCTCTGGGTTTCTTTTCTGTTCGGACCATAACACTACACTATATCCTCCAAGACTGATGACTTCACCATTCCAAAGGTACAAGTCTCTGTGTGCACTTCCTCAGCCTTCTGCTTGGTAAAGTCTTCTCACCATTCTTAGCAGTCCATTACCATTTCTCTGAGCAGATATAACTGCACCCAGGTCTAAGTTCTCAAAAGAACCTTACCCATACTTCCACTGTAGTTTGTACCTAACATCACTCAATCTACAAGCTCTAAATAAATTTCTGAATAAAAATCAAAGATTTGATCCAAAGAAGCAAACCAAAGCCACCTCCCATAATCAAGATGCTATTTACAGTTGGTAACTCTTGAGAAAGATAAAAAATTAATTTCTCCAATAGACTGACAGTAGGTATCAAGCCCAGGACCAATGGTAGTAATGAAACACAAAACAGACTCCAGTTTTATGTGTGTGTGCTTTTTGTTTTGATTTTCCTCTTTTTTTCCATAACGTTGGGTGAGTAGGGAAATGGGGGAGGACCTTGGAAAAGCCAAAGGATAAGAGTCTAATCAAACTATTAAAAAAACCTTAATAAAATTTAAATAATAAAAGGTTTGAACCAAAGTGAATCAAATAACTACTTATTGTGATATATTCCTGTAACAGTATCATAGAATCCTACAAGCCCAAAATCAACTGTTATGTGCCCAAATATTTTTAATGACAACTTACATGAAGCTTAAATGAAGAGTACAGAAAAATCTTACCTCGCGGGAAAATTCCTGGGTCCATAAACGTGGCCATGCTGAAATTGGCCAGCACAAAAAGAAACATAATTGCATTGTAGATGGGCACTGCAGGTGACACATTCAGGCTTAGTCCTGGACACCTGCAGAAAATAAAGAAAATGAAGACAGCCTCAAACACGTTGGGCAGAGAGACTCAGCCTCTGAGTCACACATGTAATTCTTAGGTGGTTTACCTCAGGCATCCCAAATTACCTTTATCCTTCCCATCAGTAGCCAAGTGTCCCATGAAATAATCTCTCCTGTGTTAAGTCCCTACATCAAGGTCTTGTTCTTCAGAACCTGCATAGCTTTACAATATGACTTATCTCCTTATAAACCAGACACAAGAACTAGGGATTGACTGTGTCTGAGCATCAGCTACACTCCTGTTTGGCGCAACCTAAGGGTTCTGGATCCATGTCCCACTGACCTGCACAACAGCCCGGGCAAGCACATGGACACTGCCTGCCTCTTCCATCTCCACAGTTAGCTCTGACCCAATCTCCACTGCCTTAGGTTTCTCCACTGTCACCTATCTAGAGGCGAATTTTCATTTGTTTGTTTGTTTATTTGTCTGTTTTCAGACATGGTTTCTCTGTGCAGTCTTTGCTGTCCTGGACTCCCTTGGTAGACCAGGCTGGCTCAGAGTTCCACCTGCTTCTGCTCCCCAGAGTGCTGGGATCACAGGTATGGGCCACCACAACCAGCTTAGAAGGTAATTCTAATGGTTGATAACTGAAAACAATAACAATACGGGTGTGGTAGTGCACACCTTTGTTCCTGGGGCGGGGGGGGGGGGGGCCGTCTCTGTGAGTGGATCTCTGAGTTTAAGGCCAGCCCCGATCTACAGAGACAGAGAGTTCCCGGACAGCAAGAGCAACACAGAGAAAACTTGTCTCAAAAAGACAAAATAACACAGACAAGAATGTACATTAGAACACAGAAATTAAGCAAGGCACAGGAGTGCACACCTGAAACACCAACACTTGGCATGAAGAAAGTACAATTGCAGTTCAAGATCCATGTGGCCTATAGCAGAAACAGTGTTCACTCTGGCAGCACATATACTAAAGTTAGAATAATTTAGATTATCATGGCCTCTATGCAAGAAAAGCATGCAAATTTGTGAAGCACTCTATACAAAATAAAGGACAAAGGACTGGATTTCTCCTGACATCTGAAGATGGAGTCAAGAACAAGAGAAAAAAGTAGCCAACTACAGATCAAAGAAATCTAACCCCTACAGGGGGGAACTGACCACACATATCCAGCATTCACAGAACTCAAATAATGAGGGGTGCTTTAGGTATCTTTGACAAGAAAGAGAAAAGTGTGCTACTCTAAGTCTGAGTTCAGATTCTTTCAGAACCATACTCTGAATATAGATCGGCTGTCTTGACTTTTCAGGAGTTCACACTTCTGTGTGAACCTCTTCTCCCACCTCAGAGAGAACTTCCTACTCACTACAAGACAGTGGCTAAATACCCTAATCTGCCTCGTGGTTGAGAACTTAATCTCTAGATTCAGGACAGCATCTGCCCTTGTCCCTTTTACCCGGACAGTCAGAAGACAGGAAGAGTTTAATGACGGAAAAACAAACTAGGATAATAAGACAACATTCTAGTCTGAAATACAAGAGCCAAGAAAGATGCTCAGTTCCCACTAAAACAAACAAACAAACAAAAAACCACAATTCTAAATAGTGAGCCAGGACAATTTAGAAGCAGTGGGCTTCTTAGTAAGATTTAAATAAACCAATGAGACACAAATCTTTATCACCGCTATCCAGTTTTTCAAATTCAGCCAACCATTTAAAAATTTAAATACTATTTATGAGTCAGGCTTTGCAGACAGTAAACATCAATAAATTCATTGCTTCTTTTTCTTGGGAATCAAAATAATAAAGACAGATGTCAAAGTGACAACAGCCCTCAGTCAATTTCACACTAGTATCACAGAGACCTATAGAGTGTGCTTCTCTGTACAGCTCTGGAGTAAAACTTAAGAAGGAAGAGTCCCTGCTGAGCCCTACTGGAAGTCTCACTCCCTAGGTTTCTTAGGAGGGAAAGAGAGAAACTGCAAACCAGTCATCCAGGTCAGAGCCCCTCCCTAGTACTTAGCTGTCCCTTCAATTTCCGCCTGAGGAAGAAGAGAAAGGGTGACTCACTTCACTCCTACAGCCTGGGAAGATAATTACAAGGAAGACTAAATTAAATCTTAAGAGCACTGAGGTGCTGTGATTAAAAGTTCTTAGAACTGGTCACTGCAGCCCCTCACTCAGCATCCAATCTGGGTCTTTCTTCTTCTCCTTTCCTCCCACCTCACCTGTTTTGATTTGTGTTTGAAAGAAGGCCTCAGGCCTGTTCATGCCACCTATTCCACCCTGGAATACCCTCACCCTACGGAACTCCTCAGGAGGCCTGCTTTAGCCTCCTGAGTGATAGTATTACAGGCTGTGCCACCACACCTGGCTCTACTCTTCATCTTTTAGATCCCACCTTTTCTTCAGTTTCCAAACAAAATAAATCATCCAATTCCTTTACCTCCAAACCTCTCAGTACATCTCAGTGAGTGTATAATTGTGGAACTGAGTCTATCTACTGTCAAAATAAAGACTGTCCCCAGTGACAGAATGTCTAAGTGATTCAATAATTTACCGTCATGAACAGTATCTCCTATATTTAGATTCACTACTTCTAGATGAAGGAATAACCAGCCTCAACAGCCTGTTTAAGCCATACCCTATATTCCATTTGTCTTGAGGAAAGTCTTTCTATGCTTCAGCACTCTGCCAGATTCCAAGATGACCACAGCAAGTGGCCTGTTTGAATTAGTTGCCTTGATGGAGAAAGATGCAGCTAGAGCTAAGCAGAGAAGTTAGGACTTGTCCTTGGCTCTGTAAGTGATAATCACAGAGCACAAGAGAAGTTTAGGGAGTGGCTGCAGCTCAGAAGACTGACTCACTGATGGGATTCCCAGACATACACCACCCCAGGTAGAACAGGTTCTTCTGCCCACCCATTCATTATGCCTATTTTCAATGCCAAGTACAAGGGATGTGGGGGTTTCAATATACACTCTCCTGAAATCCTGCTACCTAGCATTTCTAACCCTTTCTACTACTTGAAAGAAAAAAAAAGTTAAATTCCTAGAAAGAAAAAAGTTAAGTTTTAGTTTCTAATCCTGTCTCAGTTCACAAGAAAGTCTTACACTTGCTACTTTAGTTGTACAATACACACATGAAAATGAAGGAGAATGTCTGAAAAGATGCTAAAATTCTTTTTTGGGAGTGAAGGGAGGTTTGAGCAAGGTCCTCACTATGGGGCCAGGCTGTTCTCTTACTCAAGAGACGAGCTCGACTGCCTTCCAAATGCTGAGATAAAGGCATGTGCCATGCTTTGTCTCTAGAATTCTTCTTAAAGCAGCATGTATAATACTGAGGATTCACTTGACAGAAGACCCAGAACATCACCACTGTCGTCAGTTTCTATCCAGCTCTTTCATCCTTGACCCACTCCCTATGTGAGATGCTAATTCAGGGATACTTAAACCCGAGGCAAGAAGCTCCTGAAGAACAGGCCCACACTCTCCACCCACTCCTAGCACACTACCTGAGCATCTGTTTAGTGTTTCCTGATGAGAAGGCTGAAATGGAGACCCCATTTCCAGCCTAGAATTTCATCAAGGAATGCTTTCTTCAAGATCCCATGGGGAAAAAAAAAAAAAACAAAAAACAATTTGTCCTCTGAGAGGTTCATATGTTTCATTTTTGTACTTCTAAACCCTGTAATTCCTATCAAGCGAGCCACGTATGCTGCAGGACCTGGGCACTTATTCCTGGATGAGGAAAAGCCCGTGGAAAGGAAAGGAGCAACCAGGGCTCAATTAATGCCCCAGATCATGCGGTTGTTCCCACTCAAACCAGGTGCTAACACCTCCACAGGTATGACAGGGGGAAAAAAGAAAAGTCAGAAGTTGCCCAACTCTGTAGATTGAAAGGTTGGAATAGAGCTGAGGTAGACTCACAAAGAAAGCAGACTGCACCACAGATAGGACCCTGGAAAGACCATCTGGATTACTAAATGCTCTCTATTCTACCGAAAACACGATCTCCCTACCTCTTACTCCCCAACCTCAGAAATGAAAATTTGAGACTCTGTTATTATAGAACACTTTAGAGAAGATCAATTTAATGATTCCCAACGATGCTGTCAGGAGCTCTCAGGTCTCAGGCAGCCTGGGAAGGTAAAAAGGGAAACCCCAACTAGCTGGACTTGTATAAATTAGCCTCATTTGAACTGCAGCATTCCCAATTTTTAATTTATGTACTGAGATTCCATGTAAGAAGCCATCCAGAAGAGTTCACAAGGCTGAAATAAACCGATCCAGTTCAACATCTTCTTGATAGTAAGAAAGGAAGAACTGAAGTCCAGAAACATTAACGAAGTGCCAAACTAGGTCTCCTGCCCTCCAGAGCCAGGCATGGTGACACTTATCTTTAATCCCAATACTGAGGAGGCAAAGGCAGGCAGATCTCTACGAATCTGACGTCAGCCTGGTACAGACAACGAGTTCCAAACTAACCAGGGTTACACGGTGAGACTCTGTCTTAAACAAAAAGTAGCCAGAGGTGGAAATAAAGGCACACACCTTTATTTCCATCATTCTTTGAGAGAGAGGCAGGTGGAGCTGAGTTCAAGGCCAGACTAGTCTATAGATCCAGTTCCAGGACAGCCATGGTTGCACAGAGAAACCTTGTCTTAAAAAATAAACAACAAAAACTATTAAACTACCAAAGATGGGACCCAGAAGCAAATTCTATTAAACTAACCAGGAAAGGGTGTGTTTACTTAAGCAGATACTCTCCTCCCCAAACAGTGGAGAGAGAAATGAATTAAGACAGAATGCTCACCATTCCTGTCAGGCTTTAGTCCTGAACAAATGAATCCAATGAGGAGGAGGATCAGCTCTAGGGAGAAGAACCTCAACTACTCTTTGCAGACTTCACTGGGGCAGAAAAGTGTCATTATTTCTTTGATGACCAGACCTAACTGGTAATTTCTGTTCATAGCTTTCCCTACTTAACAAAGAAGCATGGAGGGTAAATTGTTCCTAATGAGTTGAAGCCTACATACCTCTACTAATTACGTCTGCCAGCTGAAAGAAACTCTTCCTCCTGCTCCCCATCCTCTGGGTCCCAAAGTAATTACCACCTGGGACCTAGACTGATGTAAGAGCCACTTGTAACCTGCTGAGAAGAACAGGAGATTGACAGAGCACTTACAGACTTATGGCCCCACATAGATGTGGGTTCAAAAAGAGCCTTCTTGATCTCTCCATTTCAAATTCTTTTCATGTGGCACCCAGTTTTAAACAGTGTTTTCCAAGGAACCGACCCTCAAAGAGGGAGACAGCAGAATGCACAAAAGAACCATTCTTGAGAACAGTGGTGCCTCAGCCCAGAAGTATGCTTATTTAGGAGATGCTTCAGTCAGAAAAGAGACTCTCAGAAGTAGCAAGAGCTAGATGATGGCGATAGCGATGGCTCCGTTGTTAAGGGCACTGTTGTTCTTCCACATGACCAAAGTTTAATTCCCACTGTCCACATGGCACTCATACAACCTCCTACAACTCCAGTTCCAAGGTACCCAGGCCACTTTCTGGCCTGGCTTCTGAGGGCACCAAAACAAAAACAAAACACAGCTAAGTGATAAAGCGCTATCAACAAAGTGCTTATGTCCACAGGGTGGACAAGTGAGACTTTGGTAAGAAAGGGAAGCCCAGACATTGATCCTGTGGAAACTAATGATGGAGGATTTTCACCTGTGATTTTAGGCAATTCCAAACAATTCCAAATAATCCAAATTCCAAATAATCAATAACATCCTCCATTTTCTCCCACACTAAAGGTGTAGTTTAGTGTTAAAAATACCTAGCATACACAAGGCCCTAGAGTCAATCCCTAGCACCACGAAAACAAAGCACTTTTGCGGCAGCTGCTATAACAAGAGGGACCCTACTCAACTAGCAGCAAAAAAAAGAAGAAGTAGGCTAAATCGCTTCAACTGTCAGTAAGACAGTGCCTGTCAGGACAATTCTTTCTAGGCAAACTGGTATAACAAGCCAAGCGCTTCCAGATTAACAAATTAAAATGAGAATTTTGCATGTGAGATCGCAACAATTTGAGAGAGAGAGAGAGAGAGAGAGAGGAGGAAAACAAACAAACAAACAAACAAAAAAACCCTTACTCCCCTGAACACTTATCTAGAAGAGCTTGACTCCCAAAGGGAAACAGACATTCCCATCAGGCAGGCTAAGGTATTAACCTGATCCGGTTACATAGCTCTCCTGATCCAGCACAACTGCCACTAAAACACAAAGATAGAAAGGTCCCTTGGTTAAATTTTTTATTTTGCTTATGCCAAAAACAGCAAAATTCAAAACATGTCTAAAGAAGCACACCATCTTTTGCTACTCAGCATATCAAGAGCAGAAGATGAGCTACAGGTGAAAAGATAACGAAGAATGAAGATCTTGGTTCCCTGATCACTCCAAGAGGTGCAACTGGAATGCTTCCTCAACAGCTCAACAGTATAAAGCCCAGAAGGATGGTACAGACTCATAAACTGCTAACAGAAAAGATACTAGGTGGCCACAGGTGGGACAGGAGAAAGGGAAAATTCATAATCTCCCCCAGTAAGACAAGTGCATGAACAAAGTCTTAAGATCCTAACTAGGATGGCTACAGACCCTAGATTGTAAGAAACGTATCTTTGAAAGCCATCTACCTTCCCCATTAGAACTAATGAACACAAGAACTCCCCCTCTTCTTAGTAGGAACTAACACAAATGACTCTACTAGCATTTTCTTCCTAAATAAAGCTCGTTCTTTCTGAGGAGCCTTTACTTCTCCAGACCTTAGCTCTTACAGTATAAAGAAAGCATCTGGGTAACACTAAAAACCAAAACTGTCTCATTAGTATATCTTAAACCAATTCTCACAGTGCTCAGAAACTAATACAAGAGGCTCATGAATTTAAGGTCAGCCTGGGCTATATAGCAAGATCCTGTCTAAAAATTCTCAAATCTTGAAAGCAGTTCTGGCAGAGCAAGGTAAAATTAAGGGATAAGATCTAAGAATTCAGGGGGCAGAGGGAAGATTGACACAGATTTGAGGCAGCCTGGTCTACTTAGGCAATTCCAGGCCAGCACAGACAACATAGTGACACTGTCTCAAAAAGGAAAAGACGGCGACTGTGGCAGCAGCCACGCTTCTCAGGTTCACAATCTCTATACCCTGTATGCCAGACATCCGAGTGTGACTGATTGCTACTTGAACAGACTTAAGTCAGCACGACCTGGTGGTACAAGCCTTTGCTCTCAGCATTTGAGAGGCAGAGGCAGGAGGATCTCTGTGAGTTCATGGCCAGCCTTGTCTACAAAGCAAGTTCTAGGACAGGCAGAACTCTACAGAGATCGTGTCTCAAACAAACAAACAAACAAACAATGCAGTAAGATTTAATTCTATTCTAGTTGCCTTCCTCTAGTTTAAGTTCTTCAAGCCTCTCTGTTTTCCTACTTCCTTCCTAGTTTAGTATCACCTGTGATGGAACTAGATAGGAAAACATGAAGAAATCTATGATTCCCAATGACAGGAAGCAGAGGAAAGTAGAAACAGCATCAGAGTAAGGACAGGCATCTATTTGGCCTTCCAAATAACTAATGAAACTGAAGAAATAGTCTTCATTTCCCATGGACCCTCCCACCCTCAAATGCTTCTGGGGAGAAAACTCACGTAAAGGCAAAGAAGAGTGTTGTAGCTCCCACTAGAAATATGGCGGCTGCTGAGACCGGTACATACTTGCTGGGTTTGAACCTCTTTCCAGACTCTGCGGGCATGTTGGAGCTCTGATGAATGATGTGCCCTGCCGCATAGCCCAGGCCCACGCAGCGGCAGAACAGACAAGAAAATGGGATGAGGGAAACAGAGAGGAAAGAAACTGGAGAAAACAGAAAATGTAAAATTATCACCCTTCCCCCTCCCAAATAAAAATGAAGGTCAAAAGATCTCAGATGAAGGAAAGCACATGGGAGGGGGAAAGGTGATTTCAATTGATTAACAACCACCTCCGCAGAACAAAGTAGAAAAGGAGATTAAGAAATACAACTTGTACAATTTAAAACTTGCAGACAAATAGGCTGCACGCTTGCAAACAGTTGCGGGTGGAAAGCATGGAGAGTCAGGCAGAGCAAGGTATAGCTCATGGATGAAGGCAGGTCTTCAAATGGAGAAGAGTGTCAGGGAAAGGCCCTCCACAACAGCACACTTCCAAAAATATGAGCAGCACCTAAAAGGTGTGCCCTGGGTTTCTAGCTTAATCCAAGAAGGAACGTGGGGTCTCTTCCAGCTTTAAAAAGAAGCCGATTTTGTTTTTTAAACTACAGTCCTTGTCGCTTTTCGGCAGCCTTCTCAATGCCACCACTCTCACACCTTGACTTCACCAGGGCTAGTCATCTGGCAATGGTGATTTAATTTTATTTATTTCTCCTTGATGGCCAAAGTTGGACAACAGCTGTTCCGAGTTGAGTTGTAAATCCTTTTCTTTGAAGGGGGAGAAAAAACAGACAGCAGTACTGTCCGTTTCAATCTCTTCTTGTTATTCCCAAGTCCTTTAAGGACTCCATTTCCCATAGAGTTCATGAAAAACCAAAAGGAAATTTAAAATCCTTGAAGCCATGTCCTTTCCAATAAGCAGAATAAGATGGAGTCAGGTTCAGCTGATAACAGTTTAAAACATTACTGTAGGTAAGTAAAGTTCCAAAGATGTCCCTGTTTCCAGGTTGGTCAATGTCTCTGATCTTTTGTCTTCAATCGTGGGCTTCCTGAATGTAGAGTTCAAGTGGGATACAGTCCTTTACCTGGAGAAAATCAAATATCTTTTATCAAAAAAAAAAAAAAATTCTTTCATATTTCTTAATAACACGGCTAAAACCACACAGGCCACTGTTAAAAGTTGTCTTTTGAAAGAAAGAGTATTTTCTACTTATGTGGGAATAAACTCTAAATGGAGAAGAAAATACATTCAGAGTCCTTTACCTTTTTAAGGGCTACTCTGATCGAAAGGAGGAGAACCTAGTCTTATCTGACCTAAGGTCATCCAAGGACTAGCTTTTATAAGCCCATCTCTCTAGACAAAAGTACAGTAACACATAGCAACAATACAAAAATCTAAAAACAAACAAGGACACAAAAGTGAATCAAGAGCACTACAGATTTCTCTTTGGACAAAGAGAATATTTATTCCTACATTGAGGAAAGGACGCTTAAAAATAGGACAGCAATTATCATTTTCTTTTTCTGTGTCTCTTTCTATGCCTATGGCTTTTAGCTACAACACCAGAGAGGCACAAATTCAATTTTTGGCCCTTTGGAATCATCTATTAAGGGTCCCAGGCAAGAAACAATCTTGCCCCAAAAGGTTATGAGAAATGAGTCCAACAAAGAGATTGATCCTTTTCTTCCATATTCAGGATTTTTAATTCCTAGCACTGGCCTATTAGTAGGTAAACTAAGCTCCCCTAATCCAGCATGATTAGAGGAGCGATTATTCCTGTTGGTCACAGTAACAAAACAACACGAGCACCTTAATTCTCTGGGTGCTTCTCATCTGGTGATCTCAAAGCACTTTACTCACATTAGGTACTGTCAGAGTCCCTTACCCTAGCTTGTAAAATTGAAGGCTAGGGAAGGCCTGAGGCCATTCCACTGAATCACTTGGGTAGCCAGGCTCAGAGCTCAAGAGTCTAACTGCTGACACAGACCCTTCCTACCACACTACATGCCTAATGATAACTTACCATCTACAGACCAAGATTACTCCTTACGTTAGAATTTTAAATGAAAGCAGCGCTATTCCCCACTATTTGATACCAATAAAAAAACATCGAAAGATCCAGACAATGAAATACAAACGTGTCCTGGAATTTATCACTTCTTTTCTTAACTAAGACATAGAAGGCAAAGGAGCCAGTTACCGTCACCACTCAGTCATGGTGGTGAACGCCTTTAATCTCAGCAGAGGCAGGTGGATCTCCAAGCCACCCTGCCATGCATTGCTTCCAGGCCAGCCGGGCTACATAGTGAGACTTTGACTCAAAAGGAAAACAAAACAAAACCACAATGAAGACCCAAAGATTGCAGTAAGTTTTTAAGGTCCTAAAAGCCAGATCCTATTCAGTCCTGATTTTATGATTATTTTTGTTTTCTAAATTAGGGCCTATATCTTTTTGTTTGTTTTTTCGAGACAGGATTTCTCTGTGTAGCCTTGGCTCTCTTGGAACTCACTCTGTAGACCAGGCTGGCCTCAAACTCAGAGATCTGCCTGCCTCTGTCTCCGTGGAGTGCTGGGATTAAAGGCGTGTGCCACTATCATCAACTGGAACCAGCACATTTCTTGCTATGTAGACAGTACAGCAGATGTTTTCCTCAAAACTCCAAAGATTAAAGGACGAAAATTACTTAAACAGCCTGGTGCTGGTGGTGCACGCCTTTAATCCCAGCACTCCAGAGGCAGAGGCAGGCGCATCTCTGTGAGGTCAGCCTGGTCTACAGAGTGAACTCCAGGACAGTCAAAGCTACACTGAGAAACCGTCTTAAGAAAACAAAAAAGAAAGAAAATTACTTAAATATTACAGAGTTAATCAGCTTGAATCCTATACTATTGCAATCACATTTACTACAGAATAAAAGCCACACAGATTAATACTGCCATGGTACAGCCGACATTGAAGGCCATGCAATTTTGGAACCACATACTGAGAAATAAATGAGCCCATCATTTGAAATGTTAGGATATCTATTAGAAGGGACAATATAAAATAATTTATTAGGTATAAATAACAATACCAAGTCCCAGCAAAGGAATGTGGTACAGAAAGATAAGGGGTGAAACCAGAAGGGTGAGTATGGTTCATCAGTCACACTCTGGTGGATCCACACCGGTATCACCAAAGTGCACAAGAATGTGTATGACACATGCTGACAGATGGGAGGAATCACGGTGTGAGAACATGTATGTATAAAACAAACAATACAGAGCCAGGTGTGGCAGCCCTCGCCTTTAATCCCAACACCTGAGAGGCAGAAGCTGACAGACCTCTGTGAGTTAGAGGCCAGCTAGGTCTACAAAGTGTGTTCCAAGACAGCCAAGGCTAGAGAGATCCTGTCTCAAAACAACAAAAAACCTTACAAAGCCAACAATTCAGGATATGTAGTTTGAAGGCTTTAAAGGTTTAATACCAGCAGTTCCTTAGGAGCAATGCCACAGACAGCACATGTATTATTTGTTAAAGTAACTAAGCTCTATAGCACAGTAAACTTGAATATACAGTAATGGAGATGCCATACAGAATAACGCACACAGCTATGAGAAAAGACCCATGCCGAAGTTTAAGGAGTGTTTTTGTTGTTGTTTTTCCCTTCAGAGACAGAGGTAGGTATCCTCTGTCTCTGTCAACAGAATTCTTACCAACGTTAGGTGAATTTCTGTGTGATGACCACCAGAGAGATCTGATAGCAAGCAGGCGCACACTGGGATAAAAGGATGGAGATCCACACCTAAGATTATCCCGGACCCGATGGCAATAACCAGGAAGTTAATCCAAGACGACAAGAAAGGCAATGTAACATGTATCTGATTCTCCCGACTCCTTCTAATAACTTTAGTCACTTTCTTGTTTGTCATTTCAGCGGTTTCATTGGGCCAACTGAGGAGCTTTACTCCTCCCCAGGAACAGACTCCTGGAGATAAAATATCGTCCAACACAGTCAAGCTCCACTTATAAAAAGTACAAAGTACTGACGGCATGGAGCACCTGGCTGGTGGGGGTAGGGAGAAGCGGCAGTCGGAGGGGAGAAAGAACAGGTAGCCACAGGACGAGGCTCTGGCCAACCTAAGGACCAGCGGAGCGCAGGGCGAGGGGCCTGAGCCGCGGAGCCGCGGAAGGGGAACAGGACCGAGCTCCGGGCAGCGGCCGGAGCTGCCCAGCCCCTGGGCCACAAACCACGGAACCCACCGCGCGCAGGGCCCGCCGGAGCCGAGAATCGTGGGCCGGGGGCGGAAGGGGCGGCGGCTCCGCGCCCGGGCGGCCGGGCACCAACCGGCCCCGCGCCCCGGAGGCCGCGGCTCCCGGACCCTGCGGCCGCCCGTTTCGGGGCCCGCGGAGCCCGGCGAGGGGTAGGGCCTCACCTCCGCCCCTCCGCGGTCCCCCCTTCCCTAGAGGTCACTCTCCCCTCCCACCTCGCCCGCCCGGCACTTCCGGTTCCGCAGGGGCCAGCGTCTCCGGGACTCACCCGCGGCGCGGTGCCCGTGGCCGCCACCGTCGTCGCCGCCGCCGCCTCCCAGCG